CCTGTGGCCTGCTCATCTGATTGAACCATATTTGATGATACCAATAATTAGAGCTCTTCAAAAAGAAATTTTAAAAAATGTGTGATTTAGGAGCATTTTTGATACTGTCTCGGGTTATTGTTGTTATTTTCAATTGATTCATTGAAGTTAATTTTGTAATTGAAGGAATTTGAGTTTTTAGGCTCTTGAGACTAAAGATTTTGCAGACAGAAAAATGCTAAGATACAGTTGCTAAAGGGCATGTTTGGGTTACCTACCATTTAATGAAGTGTCATCACAAAGGAGCCTCTTGAGAGAAGATAAAGAAGAAAGATGTGAACAGGGTCATAGCAGGCTTTGTTGTGGAGGCCAAGGTTGGCCAAGATTGTTGAATAGAATTTTCAGAGTATCTTCGGAAACTCCACCTAGCCCAGGAAGTGAAGAACTTGAAGTGGATGGTTTATTCCTCTTTGACTCTGGTAAATTGGGAAGTACTCAAGGGAGGAACTGAAAACTGTATTTTAGCTGGGATAGAGAGGAAAGAGCATTGAGATCCATCTGTTGAATTTGTTTTTTTTTTTTTTTTTTTTTGGGGGGGGGGTGGTACCAGGGATTGAACTAAGGGACACTCGACCACTGAGTCCCATGACCAGCCCTACTGTAATTTATTTAGAGACAGGGTCTCACTTAGTTGCTTAGCGCCTCGCTGTTCCTGAGGCAGTCTTTGAACTCGCAGTCTTCCTGTCTCAGCCTCCTGAGCCACTGGGATTACACGTGTGCACCACCATGCCTGGCCCATTGTTGAATTTTTATCAGATCACTAGTATCACTAGGAATTGTGCCACATCTAATCAATGCAGATGATTTAGGTCGCCAATTGCTAGCCCTGGAGTGGTGCTAGATACAATGGTGAGGAATAGCAATATACATTGTCATCCTTTCAAAGAATTTTGAAACTTGTTGAGTTTTTCTTCATGAACCAAACATGTGTAAGAAAAAAATTAATTATTCTTAGATGTAAGCAAATTTTTTATTCTGGAATATGAATTATATGGTATTTTGTTCTGTAGTGACTTTTTAAAAATATTTATTTTTTAATTATAGGTAGATACAATATCTTCATTGTATTTTTATGTGGTGCTGAGAATTGAACCCAGTGCTTCACGCATGGTAGGCGAGTGCTCTACCTCTGAGCCATAACCCCTGTAGTGACTTTTTGAGCAGTATTGGGGATTGAGCCTAGGGACACTCTACCATGCAACTATGACCCCCAACCCTTTTTGTTTTTTATTTTGTGACAGGATCTCACCTGGGCTGGCCTCAAACTTGACATTTCCCTGCCTCAGCCTCTCACCTTGCCAAAATTACAGACATGTACCACTGTGCATGGTTCATTAGTGACAAAATAATGAATTTGTTTTTTTAAAAGAAAGACTGAAATAGTACATGCTTCTTATTTTAGATAGTACTGGAGCAAGAATCATGTCTTTCTCAACTTCGCATCTGGAACAGATAGCCCTGGGACAAGGATGTAAATGTTCTTTGAAAGAACAAATAAATGAAGTATTATTTTGTTGGAAAAACTGTCCATAGTACATAATTCCTTGAAATGCAGAATTTAATGTATTTTTCAAAAAAGCTTTCAATATATTTCATGTTCAAACATAATTATTTGTAACACTTATTTTGAGTTCAGTTGTGTACTTTTAATATATATGTATGTGTATGTATGTATATGTGTGTGTGTGTATTTATTTATTTATTTAAATTGTAGATGGACACCAAACCTTTATTTTATTTATTTATTTTTATGTGGTGCTGAAGATCGAACCGAGGTCTTCACATGTGCTAGGCCAGCACTCTTCCACTGAGCCACAACCCCAACCCAGTTAAAGTGCTTTTGTGGAAGAAATAGTTCTACTGCTTCATCACAAATATAACCAACAACTAAAGAATTAAAATTCTGCCAGTAAAAGAAAAATCCCAAATGTTAAGATATTTATAAGTAAAATGATATTTACTAGTAAATGTATGCATGGAAGTTCTTAGATAACTGGTTATCCCAGAGTTATGGGTAGGAGTAATAAATTTTATGTGTATTAATTCACAATTAGATTTCACTTAGGAAGTTACATTAGATAGCTTAATTTGTCATCTTAATCACTGGAAGCTAAATGTGAGCAATTCATTATGCTCAACTCAACAAGGGTGTTTTTCTGTCTTTTCTATCTTTGGAAGTAAGAAAATGTTACAGTGTTGGCAGTCTGGTCTCCAAGAACATCACTGTGCAGAAGGAATAGGTTTCAGGGCTCTTGCCTATAATGGGTTTCAGGGCTCTTGTCTATACTCTTTCTTGGAATGCTGTGCCCATCAGAGAAAGCCCTGTCAAGAGGAAAAATAGGTATGATGAATTACTGTCTGGGCCCAGGTCCTAGATTCCTTGGTCAAGTGTAGCATATGTCTCCTGTGCCCTCTCCTGACCTCAGGGCTATCCAGGCTTATGATGACATAGTGGCAAACATGGACTTAATTGTAGCACGCTCTCTCTCTTGTGCTCTCTCTCTCTCTCTTTGTATAGTTATTACCTTAGTCCTTTGGCTAAGAGGCAAGTCTGAATCCTTTAGACTGTTACCTTGTTTACATTCTCCAGGGAGCCCACAGGTTTAAAGTGATGGAGCCAGTTAAGAAGCCTGTTGCTTATGATAGTGCAGTGTGTGCAACAGGAAGGATTTATTTATCCAGATACGATTTTTGGACTAATTAGGCTTTTCTGAGTTTTGTCTTCTTTTTTGGTAATATCCTAACCTACAAGTATAAACCCTGGAAAAATCATTGCAGAAATTTATTTGGGGTTAGTTCCCACATTTCCTAGGTCTGAAGTTGTTTTAAATGAAGAGATAAGATTTTTCTTATTCACAAATGATGTTCACAATGAGTTCACTTTAAATTTTTTTGAAGTAAAAATATTTAATAATTTTACTTTTAACTTCTTTTAATATTTTTAGTTGTAGATGGACACAATATCTTTATTTTATTTGTTTACTTATATGTGGTGCTGAGGTTCAAACCCAGGGCCTCATATGTACGAGGCAAGTGCTCTGCCACTGAGCCAGAACCCCAGTGTCTACTTTTAACTTCTTGATAAAGGAAGAAACTATGTGGATAAGTCCTCTAGTATGTATTTCTTTCTCTTTTTTTAGCCTTTATTTTATTTATTTATCTTTATATGGTGCTGAGGATCAAACCCAGGGCCTCACAAGTGCTAGGCAAATGCTCTACTGCTGAGCTATAACCCCAGCCCTAGTATGTATTTCTTAAATTTAGGTTTAGTATATTTTTATTATTATTTTTTAGTTGTAGATGGACACAATCCCTTTATTTTATTTATTTTTTATGTGGTCCTGAGGATCGAACCCAGTGCCTCAAGCATGTTAGATGAGCGCTGTACTGCTGAGCCACATCCCCAGCCCTATGATGAGTTTTAAAATCTCTTTTAAGAGAATTTTAGCTGTTTCTTAAATACTCTAATATTAGCAATTTCAGAGCAAAAACTTTTTTAGAGTTTAATAAGAACTATGTCTCAGCCAGGCAATGAGGTCCAGCTACTCAGGAGACTGAGGAAAGCATTGCAAGTTCAAGGTCAGCCTAGGCAACTTAAGAAGACCTTGCTCAAAATAAAAATGGGGTGGGGATGTAACTCAGTGGTAGAGCACCCCTGGGTTCAATCCCTAGTACCATATAAACAAAACAAAACAAAAACAAATTGCATGTCAGCTGGACAGTGGGCAGAGGCTTGTCCCCAAATATTTTGTTCCTCAAAAGTATTTAAATTTAAGAGTTGAAATTGCTAATTTATCTAAAAGGTTGCATTTACTTTTTAATATATTCCTGGTTGAAAAGTACTTAAACAGATTAACACCTGACTTCAGCTTTAAAGTACCTGGGAAAGAACTAACTCTTAAACAGAAAATCCACCAGTGTTGTCCACATACATGGGAGCTTAGCTCCTAAGAGGAAAATTGGGGGGCTTTAATTGATGAAACTTAGGGATTTACCAAAATTAATTGGAAATTTAAATAAGTCTGTTTTTTCATTCTTTATTTTGATCTTGTTTTATGTGGATTTTTGTCTTTGGAATCTGAAATTCTTTATCTGCTTTTCTCTCTGGAAAGAACTTACTTTGAATTGGTGAATTTCTATTAATCAGTTTGTTTCAATAGAGAACTTGTTCCAAGTAAGTTGAATGAATCCTTAGTGTTTTTTTTAAAGGCATATTATAAGTTGGAGGTAAGGAGAAGTTTTTGCTTTTCTGTCTTTTCTAAGTAGATCTGAAAATAAGATGTTTCCCTAAGTTTTAGCAAAAGGATTTCACCTATATGTGGTCAATTTATGATCTCTTTCACCAATGCTGCTGCCCACCATTAAGTCTCTTATCACAGGGCATTTAAAAATGATGCCATAAAATGCATGTTGAGAATCTCTGTATCTCAGATGTACAGAAATCACATCTAAATGTCAATTCCTGAGTTAAGGAACTGACAATTATGGCACTTTCAGTCTCTATTAATAGTAGGCAGGAAATTATTGTGTTATTTATGTTATTCCTTATCTGTCTGTAGACTTAAATATTTGTTGAAAAGCATTTGTTTGTTTCATTGGGGCTATATATTTTTACCATTGTGCTAATTTGCTTACCTGAATTGTATTAAAGTTGTCCTTTAATTGTTTTGGGCTAAATCTGTAGTTTGAAATTTCAGGATTATCCCCTGTGTACTATACATCAAAGATGAAATTTTAATGCTTTGTTCATTTACTACACAGCTCCTATTTGTCTGTAATGAAGCTGTATGGCTGGGCCCATCTATTTCAATAATAGTTATTTTATAGCTTCCTTTTGGATGTTGTTTAATATGAGAGGATAATTTTCCCAAATTCATTCAGAGGAGTCTGGGCATTTCTTTGGGATATGTTCATGTTCGTGTTTTTGCTTCTGATTTTAAAATAATTTTCCTTTGTTGTAGGATGAGCAGTTCTTAGGTTTTGGCTCAGATGAAGAAGTCAGAGTGCGAAGTCCCACAAGGTCTCCTTCAGGTATGGCCATTTAAGCTCACAGTGTCTTGAAGTTTTGTTTGTTAGGGTATTGAGGTTTCTTTTTTGTCTTCTTGGTATGTAGAGAATAATCTATAATCCGGGGAACAGGAAATGGCTTATGAGCTAGACTTTTGGGGGATGCTGCTCTGTCAGGTCACTTGTGGTTCATTCTTCAGTATGTTTCTCTCTGGGAGCTACTTGTGGAATGGGAATGGGTTTCCACAGAATGATTGGGAAACCTGATATGTTTGAAGATACCCTACTAAGTGCTTCCTCAGTTACACATTTTTGTATTATGTATTAGTATATACTGCCTTTGGAAATAATTTGGCTATTATTTTTTACAGGTGAAATTTGGTCTATTGTCAAAGAACTAAACACAAAATTAGACGATATGAAACAATTTTATCTGGTTCTTAAAAGGTATATTAAAGAAAGAAAACATTGTGGTTAGCTCTTGCGCTGCTAGGCCTAAAAGACCTAACAAGAACAATTATAGAGAAGGAAAGGTTTATTTGGGCGGCTCACGGTTTAGAGATCTCAGTTTATGGATAGCTGGGTCCATTCCTTGGGGCTCAAGGTGAGGCAGAATATCATGGTGGAAGAGTGAGGCAGAGGGATGCAGCTTACATGATGATCAAGAAGCAGAGAGAGAGACTCCACTCACCAGATACAAAATATGTACCCCAAAGGCATGCCCCCAATTACTCACCACATCCAGCCACACCCTACCCGCCTTCAATTACCACTCAATTAATCCCATCGGAATTAATTCACTGATTGGGTTAAGGTTCTCATAACCCAATCTCTTGTCCTCTGAACCTTCTTGCATTTGTCTCCCACATGAGCTTTTGGAGGACATCCACACCAAATCATAACAGAAAATAAAAGTTATATGAGGTGTTTCCTTTTATTTAGCAATATATGTCATTGTTCTCACCAACAAAATATCTAGAATAACTTGACATTCTAGACTTACAAGCAGTTTCCTAAGAGAAGGTCCTCAATGTAAATAACATTTTTTTGACTTGCATAATTCAATTCTGTATAGAACAGGGCTTAAAGATTTTTTTTTGCCCGGGGGTGTACGAGGAATTGAACTAAGGGGCACTCAGCCACTGAGCCACATTCCCCAGCCCTATTTTGTATTCTGTTTAGAGACAGGGTCTCACTGAGTTGCTTAGTGCCTTGCTATTGCTGAAGCTGGCTTTGAACGCATAGTCCTCCTGTGTCAGCCTCCTGAGCTGCTGGGATTATAGGCACGCGCCACTGCACCCAGCTAGGGCTAAAGATTTTTTGTTGGAACATACATTCTCCCATCCTGCTGACATTCCAATTTATTATATGATTATCTTGGATTTTATATGAATAGACAATGTATTTAAATATGGTAAATATGATATAGTTAGCTGGTTTTGTTCTTTAACTTAGTTTGTGATGTTTGCTGGCATTTGGGTCACACTTAAAGTCATGATATGTTACATAGCAATCTAATTCTAATACCCAAGTTCACAATTATTCTTTATCCAAATGGTGTTGATATTGCCATTCTAGTTGGGAGAAGTTTGCCAATACTACCTGAGTATCTGTGCTATTTAGACTGTGGCAGTGGTTTCTTGAAGATGTGTTGAATCCTTAAAACTTCATATTGGAAAGGAATTTTAGGGATCATCTGGTCCAACCCTTCATTTACAGAGGACAAAATGAGGCCAAGAAAATATATGATGAACATTTATTTATAACCAACGTGTGAGTTCTTTGGATATGTTGTGGATTAAGGAAGTTTGCAGAGCTGGAACCCTGTCTGTTCTGCTTTATTCTACTTATCTACCAACACTTTTTGAAAAAGTAGGGTGGAAGAGGTTTTTTGGATTGATTAAGCCCTCTGAATAACCATGTTCAAGTCTACCAAAATCAGGAATCTCTTCATGTACTTTACAGCATGAGTTTATATACACACACATATGTGTATATATATATTTGTGTGTGTGTGTGCATGTATACACACACACACATTAGTTGTTGATGGAACTTTATTTTATTTATTTATTTATATGTGGTGCTGAGAATCTAACCCAGTGCCTCACATGTGTGAGGCAAGCACTCTACTGCTGAGCTACATTCCTAGCCCTGGGCATGAATTTTTAACTTACAACTCTTAGGATCATTTCTTCTAAAGTTTTTTTTCTTGGCTGTCCGTTTACTTTGAATCATGTACTTTTTTTTGGCCATATGGATATCCTTCATTATTTATAAAATGAAAAGTAGTTTCTCTGCTGTCTTCTTGTCTGTTACATTTGTTATATTAGTATATATTGAGAATGGATTTGCGAATCTTTATTAAGGGAAGTCTCGTTAAGTTAATTGGTAAGAAATGAATTTATATTTTAAAAGCTCAACAATAAGACTTTTGTAGATTTCTATTTTGTTAGAAAGTGGCTCCATCGTAAAATGTTCATACTGGCCTAAATCTCTTTCAATCCCTATTCAGGGAAGTTTTAGTTTCAGAAGAATGTTCTCCTGTAAAACACTGAGAGTTGGAAATGTACCTCAGTGATAGAGGACTTAGCATGCACGAGGCACAGGGTTCCATCCCCAGTACCATAAAAATAAAACGAAACAAAGCCTATAAAACACTGAAAAGTCAAGAGAGAAAATGTGATATCATAGGAAATTTTAATACATTTTAAAATTCAGGTTTATGTAAGTATTTGAGAGTCCTGTTGATAAGTAGCAAATCGAGCTAGAAATTTCCTTTATTAGAATAGAAGTAATTTAATTTAATATATTGCTGATTTATTCTTGATATCAGTTAAGGTTAAATCTTTTTGTAACTTGGGACTACGTAGTTCAAGAGTCACTAGATAGGAAAGTAGATTAGTGGACACATTATGTCACTTCACATACCACTGGGTTCAGTGACCTTATTCTGAGATCTTATGAATGATTATTTTCCTATTTAATAAAACTTTCTTAGTTTACTTTGGTAAAATATGGGCTGGAGATATAGCTCAGTTGGTAGATTGCTTGCCATACATGCACAAGGCCCTGGATTCAATCCCCAGCACCACCAAAACCAAAACAAAACTTGGGTAAAAAAGATTGAATATGTAGGATCCTGAGCTGCCCAGGAGAATTTTCCTATGAAAGTTAGTATGTTGTTGGTTGAAGAGCACCTTGTTCAAATTTATTCAAAGCCAAAATGTTGAAGTAAAAAGGTAGGATGATTGCTGGGGTGCATGCCTGTAATCTCAGCAGCTCTGGAGGCTGATACAGGAGGATCTCAAGTTCAAAGCCAGCCTCAGCAATAGCAAGGCACCAAGCAACTCAATGAGACCCTGTTTCTAAATAAAACACAAAATAGAGCTGGGGATATGGCTCAGTGGTTGAGTGCCCCTGAATTCAACCCCCAGTAAACACCCCCTCCCAAATAAAAGTGAGATTATTTACTAGAAGCAGATTTCTAAATGTTATTGTTAGTGGCTAGAATAAGGTAGTATAATTTTGAAAAAGAAAAAAATTTACTTCAGAAAAGAACTTGCTCATCTGAAAATTGTAGAAAAATTAGTTTTCAATGGAAAACCTCTTATTATCTTGATTTCTGTGTCAAAAATAATTAAATGTTCTTTCAGGAGGAATGTTATTTACTTTTTTTTTTTTTTGAGACAAAATTTTGGTGAAATTAAGCACAATTAAGATGTTCTGTTGACTCAATAGACCCAAGTTGAGTTCAGTACAAAATGGCCTGTACTAAATTATAATCAGCTTAGTTAAGCCCTGAACTACATAGCTAAATATATGCTCTTCATTGTTTAATTTCTATACACAGTTAAAACTAGTCCTCGAAAACCTCGCGGGAGACCTAGAAGTGGCTCTGACCGAAATTCAGCTATCCTCCCAGACCCATCTGTGTTTTCCCCTCTAAATAAATCAGAGACCAAATCTGGAGATAAGATCAAGAAGAAAGATTCTAAAAGTATAGAAAAGAAAAGAGGAAGACCTCCCACATTCCCTGGAGTAAAAATCAAAATAACACATGGAAAGGACATTTCAGAGTTACCAAAGGGAAACAAAGAAGATAGCCTGAAAAAAATTAAACGGACACCTTCTGCTACATTTCAACAAGCCACAAAGATTAAAAAACTAAGAGCAGGTAAACTCTCTCCTCTCAAGTCTAAGTTTAAGACAGGGAAGCTTCAAATAGGAAGGAAAGGGGTGCAGATTGTACGACGGCGAGGAAGGCCTCCATCAACAGAACGGATAAAGACCCCTTCGGGTCTCCTCATTAATTCTGAACTGGAAAAGTCCCAGAAGGTTCGGAAAGACAAGGAAGGAACACCTCCACCCACGAAAGAAGATAAGACAGTTGTCAGACAAAGCCCTCGAAGGATTAAGCCGGTCAGGATTATTCCTTCTTCTAAAAGGACAGATGCAACAATTGCTAAGCAACTTTTGCAGAGGGCAAAAAAGGGGGCTCAAAAGAAAATTGAGAAAGAAGCAGCACAGCTGCAAGGAAGAAAGGTGAAGACACAGGTCAAAAACATCCGACAGTTCATCATGCCTGTTGTCAGTGCTATCTCCTCACGGATCATTAAAACCCCTCGGCGATTTATAGAGGATGAGGATTATGACCCTCCCATTAAAATTGCCCGGCTGGAGTCTACACCAAATAGTAGATTCAGTGCCACATCCTGTGGATCTTCTGAAAAATCAAGTGCAGCTTCTCAGCACTCCTCTCAAATGTCTTCAGACTCCTCCCGATCTAGCAGCCCCAGTGTTACTTCCACAGATTCTCAGGCCTCTGAGGAGATTCAGGTACTTCCTGAAGAGCGGAGTGACACCCCTGAAGTTCATACTCCACTGCCTATTTCCCAGTCCCCAGAAAACGAGAGTAATGATCGGAGAAGCAGAAGGTATTCAGTGTCAGAGAGAAGTTTTGGATCTAGAACAACTAAAAAATTACCAACTCTGCAGAGTGCCCCCCAGCAGCAGACCTCCTCCTCTCCACCTCCACCTCTGCTTACTCCCCCTCCTCCACTGCAGCCAGCCTCCAGTATCTCTGACCACACACCCTGGCTTATGCCTCCAACAATCCCCTTAGCATCACCGTTTTTGCCTGCTTCTGCTGCTCCCATGCAAGGGAAGCGAAAATCTATTTTGCGAGAGCCGACGTTTAGGTGGACTTCTTTAAAGCATTCTAGGTCAGAGCCACAATACTTTTCCTCAGCAAAGTATGCCAAAGAAGGTCTGATTCGCAAACCAATATTTGATAATTTCCGACCCCCTCCACTAACTCCTGAGGATGTTGGCTTCGCGTCTGGTTTTTCTACATCTGGTTCTGCTGCTTCAGCCAGGTTGTTTTCACCACTCCATTCTGGAACAAGGTTTGATATGCACAAAAGGAGCCCTCTTCTGAGAGCTCCAAGATTTACTCCAAGTGAGGCACACTCTAGAATATTTGAGTCTGTAACCTTGCCTAGTAATCGAACTTCTGCTGGAACATCCTCTTCAGGAGTATCTAATAGAAAAAGGAAAAGAAAAGTGTTTAGTCCTATTCGATCTGAACCAAGATCTCCTTCTCACTCTATGAGGACAAGAAGCGGAAGGCTAAGTACTTCTGAGTTGTCACCTCTCACCCCCCCGTCTTCTGTCTCTTCCTCGTTAAGCATTTCTGTTAGTCCTCTTGCCACTAGTGCCTTAAACCCAACTTTTACTTTTCCTTCTCATTCCCTGACTCAGTCTGGGGAATCTCCAGAGAAAAATCAGAGACCAAGGAAGCCGACTAGTGCTCCAGCAGAGCCATTTTCATCAAGTAGTCCTACTCCTCTCTTTCCTTGGTTTACCCCAGGCTCTCAGACTGAGAGGGGGAGAAATAAAGACAAGGCCCCTGAGGAGCTGTCCAAAGATCGAGATGCTGAGAAGAGCGTGGAGAAGGACAAGAGTAGAGAGAGAGACCGGGAGAGAGAAAAAGAGAATAAGCGGGAGTCAAAGAAAGAGAAAAGGAAAAAGGGATCAGAAATTCAGAGTAGTTCTGCTTTGTATCCTGTGGGTAGGGTTTCCAAAGAGAAGGTGGTTGGTGAAGATGTTGCCACTTCATCTTCTGCCAAAAAAGCAACAGGGCGGAAGAAGTCTTCATCACTTGATTCTGGGACTGATATTGCTTCTGTGACTCTTGGGGATACAACAGCTGTCAAAACCAAAATACTTATAAAGAAAGGGAGAGGAAATCTGGAAAAAACCAACTTGGACCTCGGCCCAACTGCCCCATCCCTGGAGAAGGAGAAAACCCTCTGCCTTTCCACTCCCTCATCTAGCACTGTTAAACATTCCACTTCCTCCATAGGCTCCATGTTGGCTCAGGCAGACAAGCTTCCAATGACTGACAAGAGGGTTGCCAGCCTCCTAAAAAAGGCCAAAGCCCAGCTCTGCAAGATTGAGAAGAGTAAGAGTCTTAAACAAACTGACCAGCCCAAAGCACAGGTACTCCTTTGACCTTGCCTTTAAAACTATCAGTTTACTGCACCCCTTCTGCAGGCTAGATTTAATTAAGCTAAATGTCTCAGTTACGTCCAATTGTGTAAAAAGTATGGTAGAGGGGTGGTGTGTGCAATGGTTTTTCAAAGACTGGTATGATTTTGATAATTAGAAAATGGGAAGGCATTAACATTCTAAGTAGAGGGAACAGTGTGGATAGAGATGTAAAAGTATAAAACGTATATGAGAAAGTGTGAACTAAATAGCTAAAAGATAGGTTGGAACGATATTACAGACTGCTGAGTTGTTTGAGGTATAATCTGGGGCTTAAATTTTGAAAGTACATTTTTATAGTTACGTTTTAATATTTATCAAAGAAGAGAAAAACGAGAATATTCTCTTCCTCTGTGTAGTGAGTGATTAGAGCAATAGACAATATTTGTTTGTGACTTACAAATGGGAAGCTTATCCTTAATTTGTGGAGCAGAAAAAATGTAGAATTCAGTTCATTAAGATGACACCAAACAAGCCGGGCCCGGTGGCGCACGCCTGTAATCCCAGCAGCTTGGGAGGCTAAGGCAGGAGGATTGCGAGTTCAAAGCCAGCCTCAGCAAAAGTGAGGCGCTAAGCAACTCAGTGAAACCCTGTCTCTAAATAAAATACAAAATAGGGCTGTGGATGTGGCTCAGTGGTGGAGTGCCCCTGAGTTCAATACCCAGTACCCCACTGCCCACCCCCTCAAAAAAGTTGACACCATACCAAACTAATTTTTACCAGGATCAGCAATTTTTGTTCTGTAGTAGATGTATATTTATTTATTTCAACATACTGAGTTAGGTTAAGATGGCCAAAAACTTAGATTTTATGTTGTAATTCCCCTTTGAGCCATATTTACATTTAATGATTCTACCAATTGAGAGTTCTAGTAGCAGTGTGACAAGACTTATTTCTGACACTATGTTGGATGGTTTTGGTTTGCCTTCTGGTGATAAGACCAATGGCTTTTCAGTATGTGAGATACTTATGTTTGGAGCCATGGTCTTTTATATTTTCATTTATAGACTATTTCACCCACTTCTCTGTTGATAAGGAAATATAGGAAACAATCTATAGTTAGAACACCAGACTGAACCTTTTTGTAATATAGATTGACAGCTTGGATTTTGAGGGAAACTGTAAAGAATTAGTATAATTGGAAATGGAAGATTTCTGTTTTTTGATGAGAGGCCTTTTTGCTGCCATTTTCAGAATGCAGAAGTAGTTGATTTCTGTGTATTGATAGGGCTTATCAGCTGGGAGTAATTAGTTGCATGTTTTGATAATGGATCTAATGAAGTGCTCAAGTATACCTTGGCTTCATTTAATTATATTTGCAGCATGCATGATCATCATCATTTTTGGCCTTTCTTGTGTTTAGGGTCAAGAAAGTGATTCATCAGAGACCTCTGTGCGAGGACCTCGAATTAAACATGTCTGCAGAAGAGCTGCTGTTGCCCTTGGCCGAAAACGAGCTGTGTTTCCTGATGACATGCCCACCCTGAGTGCCTTACCATGGGAAGAACGAGAAAAGATTTTGTCTTCCATGGGAAATGATGGTAGGTCAGAGGGTTAGTATTGGGATATAAACAGTTTTTTGACTTGTTCACCAGTCTTTCCAAGATACCCAGTAGCAGGGCTGGGATTGTGGCTCAGCGGTAGAGCGCTCACCTAGCATGGGCGGGACCCGGTTCAATCTTCAACACCACATAAAAATAAAGGCATTGTGTTGTGTCCATCTACACCTAAAACAATAAATATTAAAAAAAAAAAAAAGATAACCAGTAGGCTGTTCATAGTTTGGGTCTTTCAAAAAACAGATAACTAGAGGGTGTTAAATGTGTAAAGATTTTATTACGGGAAATGCCTGATTAAAAAAAGGGACAAGTAGCCAGGGAAAACTGGGAGAGCTGTCAGACTCTAGTGCAAGAAGAGAGGGAAGGAAGGTTGGGCAGAACCTTCTTAGATTGCCATGTAGTGTTAGGTTTGGCAAGGCTGTCAGGGAGTCTTCCAACAAAGCTGGCTATCAGAGAAGACTTGTGTGTCTCAGAAACAAGCCTACTTGGTAACTTACTGCTGGGGAGCAACCATGTAGCCTCTTTATCATTGGATTTCAGAGGGGCCCTTGGTCAGTTATGCTCCCTGGAATTGGAGGTCTGTGAGACACATTCTCATAATTGCCATATAGTTCTGAAATGTTGGGTTGCAGCTTTAACAAATTTAGAGATTTAGAGAATCCTTAGAAGCATTCAATTCATGTTCTTGATTCTAGGTTAGACTGTCTTATTTTCAGTATTTGGATTTTTGTTTTCATTAAGCTGCAAGGTACAGGTCTTTTTAAACATCTAAATTATTACTTAGAAAAAAATCTGAGTTCTACATATGAATATTTTTGCGTGGTGGTACATACTTGTAATCCCAGAAACTTGGAGGCTGAGGCAGGAGGATCATGAGTCTAGGCAACCTAGCAAGTCACTCTCAAAATTTTTAAAGATAATAGAAAAAATTAAAAAATAAAAAGGAGGGGAGGCCTTGGGCTGTAGCTTAAAAGTAGAGTGTCACTGGGTTCAATCCCCAGTACCCTCCAAAAAATGTATTTTCATTTTTTGATTACTAATTAAAATGAAGTTTGAATGTATCTAATGATTCAAAGGGATTTTAAGGGTTTTTCCCTCTACTTCCAAAAAGGAAATGGATACTCCTTTGGAATTAATGGCACATTTCTTTAACAGACAAGTCATCAATTGCTGGCTCAGAAGATGCTGAACCTCTTGCTCCACCCATCAAACCAATTAAGCCTGTCACCAGAAACAAGGCCCCTCAGGAACCTCCAGTAAAGAAAGGACGAAGATCAAGGCGGTGTGGGCAGTGTCCTGGCTGCCAGGTGCCTGAGGACTGTGGCGTTTGCACTAATTGCTTAGACAAGCCCAAGTTTGGTGGCCGCAATATAAAGAAGCAGTGCTGCAAGTAAGTGGGTCTTACTCTGAGGTGTTGGCCTCTCAATCATGAAGGTTTCTTATTTATCCCTGAATTGTTGCAAAGATACATTAGGAAACTGAAAGTGATTGTATTGAATCTCCTTGAGCTGCAAGATTAGTTGCAGAGTTGGGTTTTGTGAAGTGTTTAGATTTGGGCTGTCCTTAAATAAGGAATGCTCTGGGGCAGTGCTGTCTAATAGAATGGAGTGATGGAAATGTTCTGTATGTGCTCAGTTCAATATGGTACTCATTAGCCACATGTGGCTATTGAGCATTTGGCTTGTGGCTAGGTTTAACTGAGGAACTGCATTTTTATTTCATTTCTTTTAAGTTAATTTAAATCTAAATAACCACATGTGAGTAGTGACTACCATATTAGTGTAGTTCTGGAAGGGTTCTGCTTAAAAGTTGACAAGTTTAAGCAGAATATTTATTGAGCCAATTGAAACAACTTTTATCTTCATGACAGTTAGGAAACTTTAGAGACATCTTACCTGAATTTCTGGGCTCTCTGACTCAGAATACTATTTTTTCGCCCATTTTAGTCAAACTTTTGCCATCTGTGATTTTATTTGTTTAAAATGAATCAGAAGAGTCACATAGTCAGAAATTTTGGTAATTGAACATCTCATAAATTGCCTGACACAAGTAGATGCTGAATGAATGAATGACATGAAAGTGATTATTTTAAAGCATAGTTGGAGGAAATACTGTACCAGGGCAGACAGTTTCTGTGCTTTGGTTTGTCCTTAAGGAAGAATTTTGTCTTAGGTCCTTTAATGGTAAAAAGTGAGTTATTACAAAAAGGTACATGATAATAGGACACAACTGCACAGAATTTAGGGGTTGGAATAGACTGTACAATTTTAGACTTCATATTAAGTTTGTTTTATTAAATTTAAATCAAAGGATGACAGTTATCAAAGCCATGAGATAGATATACCTATAGCATTACAGTGGCAGACAGAACCTGGGTGATTTTAGTCAGTTTTATGTGCATATGAATATTAAATCTTATAAAGGAAGCAGTACTCATATGATTACAAGAAATATTAATTGGCGGCTAGAGTTGTGGCTCAGTAGTAGAGCACTCCCCTAGCATGTGTGAGGTACTGATTTTGATCCTCGGCATGCATAGATAGATAGATAGATAGATAGATAGATAGATAGATAAATGTATTGTGTCCATCTACAACTAAAAAAAAAAAACCTTAAAAAAAAAGAAATTTTATGTGGCTGGGGTTGTGGCTCAGCGGTAGTGCGCTTGCCTAGCATGCGTGAGGCTCTGGGTTCGATTCCCAGCACCACATAAAAATAAAATTAAGATATTATGTTCACCTATAACTAAAAAATAAATATTTAAAAAAAATTTTAATTGATCATTTTGTGTGTGGTAATAGTCACTATTGAATTACAACAAATTTGAGGCCCATTTCCAAAATAATTTGCTGTTTTTAAGATCCTAAAGGTAGGCAAAATTGCTGATCCAAGGATTTTAAAGGCTCAGATTTAACTTGGGTAATAATTAGTCCTTATTTCAGCTGTTAGGATGAACTTGAATAAAGATTCACTGATTTTTGCAGATAAATCATCACTCGTTTCAGTTGCTTCTCTTTTAAATGCAATTTATTTTATGGCTTATCCCTTGTTTCCTAGGATGCGAAAATGTCAGAATCTACAATGGATGCCTTCCAAAGCCTACCTTCAGAAGCAAGCTAAAGGTAGTGTTGTAAAAAGGCCTTCCCCCAGATGTCCCTGCTTTTATGTCATTGTTGTATACCTTCAGTATAAAGAGAATACTAGGGGTTTTTTGTTGTTGTTGTTGTTGTTTGTTTTGTTTTTTTTCTTTTAAAGTTCTACTCTTTCCCGGGGAGTTGATGGTTGTTGAAGCTAGATGATAGGTACGTGGGGGTTCATTTGACTATTTGACTCTTCCTTATTTGGGGGTATGTTTGACAATCCATAGTACAAATAAATAAATAAATAAATTCATAAAAATTGTAGTTCATCCCACTTCCTAGAGAAATAAAAATGTAGCTACTTCAGCTGATCAACTTGGCATTGTTTCTTGAGTCTTTCAGTGCCAACTTTAGCTGCAGGAAACTGAGAACAAGATGATGTTACATTTCTGTTCTATTTTAACAAAAATTTTTCTCATATTTATAGATTATCTTATTGTGTTGTTCCCCTAGCTGTGAAAAAGAAAGAGAAAAAGTCTAAGACCACTGAAAAGAAAGAGAGCACTATTGTGAAAAGCTTGGTGGACTCTAGTCAGAAACCTCCCCCATCAGCACGTGAGGATCCTGCCCCAAAGAAGAGCAGCAATGAGCCTCCACCTCGAAAGCCAGTGGAGGAAAAGATTGAAGAAGGGAATGCCCCTGCACCCGGGCCTGAGCCCAAACAAGTCACCACTCCTGCTTCTAGGAAGTCCAGCAAGCAGGTCTCCCAGACAGCACCAGTCATCCCCCCTCAGCCACCTAGCACAGCACCACCAAGGAAAGAGATTCCCAAGATCACTCCGAGCGAGCCTAAGAAAAAGCAGCCTGTACCACCAGAGTCAGGTAAGCAAGGAAGGCAGGAAGGAATGGTGAACCACAGTGCTATACAGTGTGGTTCTACTGGTGTCTGGAACAACATTTGGAAACCTAAAATGTTTGAGGTATTCAGTTCTAGAAAATTAACTTTCTTTTTAACTGTTATGTAATAACAAACAAAAGCAAAAAAAAAAAAAGAGAGAGAGAGAGAGATTATCTTAATTTCCAGTGTGACTCTTGGAGTTCTTTGTTTTTTTCTAATGCCCCTTTCTTCACAGCAGTTGAACCTAAAGTATTCATTGCCAGCATTCATAGCAATATATTTTCAATTCTTTAGGTCCAGAGCAAAGCAAACCGAAAAAAGTAGCTCCCCGCCCAAGTATTCCTGTAAAACAAAAACCAAAAGAAAAGGTGAGGAGAGATTTGTTTTTCTGTGTTCTGTTATGCAGGGAAAAACCTTGTCCTTGACATTTTCATGATTAACGGAAAATTATGTAAATGGTGGTGGAATTTCTTAAAATTAACCAACTTCAGGCCTAGGCTTTAGCCCATGTCTTTTTTTTGGGGGGGTGTCTTTTTCTCTTTGCTTCTTTGTGAACCTCACATGTTGTAACCTAAGAATGTGTTTATTCTTCAGGTCACTTTCTGTCCTCAACATATAATATACTTTATCAAGATTTGTCTGTAAAAATGATCTTTACCTGTGGAAAAAAATACTGTTTTTATTTATTATGGACAGAAACAGAGGATTTAAGTGTTTTTGTTTTTTGTGATGCTGGGGATCAAACCCAGGGCTTCCTGCATGTGAGGCAAGTGCTGTACCACTGAGTTACAATCCCAGTCAAGTTAAGAATTTTCTGAAGATTACTTCTCTGTTTATAGGATACTTATGTTGTAAACATATGTTCCAGATTTATTAATTGAAAATGTGAAGGCAAGTAGGGTGTGGTTTTGTTCTATAACCATCTTTTGTCTCCTTAGGAAAAACCTCCTCCAGTCAATAAGCAGGAGAATACAGGCACTTTGAACATACTCAGCACTCTCTCAAATGGCAATAGTTCTAAGCAAAAAATCCCTGCAGATGGAGTCCACAGGATCAGAGTGGACTTTAAGGTAAAGCTATTTAGTAATGATGCAGTTTATTCATGGCCTTTAAATAAAAGAAAATGGTGATGAATAGTGTTGAAAGAGAGGAAATCAGTACCAACTTGAAGAAATGTGTAATAACTACAGGTTAGCATTATGGGCTCAGGTGTGTAAGAGCTTTAGTCACTCTTGTGATCATTGTTTCTAAATTTCCTGAAGAACATAGCCATTGAAAAACCCGTTCATCTTAAGCAGTATCTGAGGGAGTAACTCTTTCACATAGGAATGCTCAAACTATGATGATTGCTTCAGTTAGCAAAACTAAGGAAATTTCAGTCCAAGTATATTTTGGCTGTATATTTAAGAATTGAACCAAGAGGTGATAGTTTGAATCTGAAATTTAAAAATTTAAAAACAGTTATGTTTGGACTCACTGAAATGAAATAACTCTTGATATCACTTTTGATTAATGTTTTTTACCTTCATTTTGTCATTATAAAACTTTCTTTTCTGCTCTTTTGCACTGCTAGATATTAAACCCAGGGCCTCATACATGCTAGACAAGTGCTTTACTGCTGAGCTACACCCCCAGGCTCTTGTAAAACTTGTGTAAGTGATCTTTATCTCTGCCTACAGGAGGATTGTGAAGCAGAAAACGTGTGGGAGATGGGAGGCTTAGGAATCTTGACCTCTGTTCCTATAACACCCAGGGTGGTTTGCTTTCTCTGTGCCAGTAGTGGGCATGTAGAGGTAAGTATCCTGCTTCTTTGCACCCTAGAAACTGTAACAGATTATTTTGCCGTGATAAAAGAAACTATTCCTTTTGTTGGTATTTAGCAGGTACTATCCTTGTTTAAATCAGCTAATGAAATATTTTAAAGTTTTTTGGAGATTTCAGAAAGAAACCTGCTTTTTAGAGTAATAGTCTTTTAAATTCAATCTTTATTAGAGTTCTGGTATTTCTATTAGATGTTTAAACATGAGGAAAATGATAGTGTCCCTTTATAAAAAGGAATATTGTTAATGGTTATTTAATTTTTTGTCTTCTTTTTCTCTTTTTATTGATATAATTCTATGTAATGGTGGGATTCAATGTTACATATTTATATGTATATACAACGTAATATTGGTGGTTGTTTCACATTGACTACAAAAACCCGCTTATTTATAAAAAGCTCTTTTTGACAGTAAGGAACAAAATCTAGTGAAAAGTGGGCAAAGGACAGAAATGGATAATTCACAAAATGAGAAACAAAAAAACGTGGCATTGTAGGGGAGGATTTTTAATTCTTCTAGTAACCAAAAACTGGGAATTAAAGCATGGTAAAAAGAATCATGCAGAAATGGGAACTTTTTTTTTTAGTTGTAGATGGACACAATACCTTTATTTTATTAATTTATTTTTATGTGGTGCTGAGGATTGAACCCAATACCTCACACATGGTAGGCAAGTGCTCTACTACTGAGCTATATCCCCAGCCCTTTTCATTTTGAGACAGAGTCTCATTAAGTTGCCCAGGCTGGCCTTGAACTTAATTATCCTGCTGCTTTAGTCTCCCAAGTAGCTAGGATTACAGGTGTGTCCCACCATGCCTGGCTTACATGTTTGTCTTAAAGAAATACTTAGAAAAGTTGACAGATTATCTCTACCTCTGTGACTCTCTCTATCTTTGTATATATGACTTTATTTCATATTTTTCATGTTAATATAAATAATAGAAACAACTTGAAAGTCTATCATAGGGAGCCTGGGTTAAAATAATGATAGGACATGTATATAATGGGCAAATATGATAATATGGTCTGATATTAACATAGATGTTCATGACAGGTCACCGAGTGAAAAGAGAAGGTTACAAAGTATACATAATACATGATCTCATTTGGGTTTGAATAAATGTTTTTAAACTATATACATAGAGCTGGGCACAGTGGCTCATACCTATAATTCCAGTGACTTGGGAAGCTGAGGCAGGAGGATCATAAGTTCAAAGCCAACCTTAGCAATTTAGAAAGATCCTGTTTCAAAATGAAAAAGGATTGAGGATGAGGCTCAGTAGTAAAGCACAGGAAGGAAGGAAGAAAGGAGGGAGGGAGGGAGGGAAGGAGGGAGGGGAAAAATGGAGAATGATTTATATCATAATATTTAAAATGTAGTTGGATTGTGGGTGGCCTTTGTTTTCTGTTTTTATCTTCTTGAGGTCGATGCAGTAGGATGAGAAAGGAAGAGAATAGCACAATTTTAAATAGGAAGCAGTATTTTGTCATTGATAAGGGATAAATTTTAAGACCTATACAATTCTCAAGTTCCTGAATACCTAGTTAACTTTTATTCATCACATATGTATTCAGTAATTACAAACAAAATCCAAAGCCTGGTTAAAATCTGGATGTTGAATAGTCAGTGATACTCAGAACTAGCATAGACTCAGTTCTGCTCACTTGCTATTGTAGTTATACATTAGCAAAATTACAAGTTGTTGACTGGTCTTCGGTTCATTAAGGAGATACTTTGTTTGTGTTTCATAGGAACATTGTACTAAGTGCTGGGGTTGCTTCAAATGTTGCTGAGACTAAGAATAGTGGGTTTATAAGTGTCAGGGGTCCACAGTATCTCTTTTTTCCTCTGTAGACTAATGCTTTGCATTCATACATACACTACCCACAGGAATAACTTAACTTTTTGTAGTACCAGTCCTTCAGCTTCTATGATTAAATTGATGTTTTTTTTTAGTGTGGTATTGTTCTAATTGAAATTATATATAGGGGCTGGGGATGTGGCTCAAGCGGTAGCATGCTTGCCTGGCATGTGTGCGGCCTGGGTTCGATCCTCAGCACCACATACAAACGAAGATGTTGTGTCCGCCAAAAACTGAAAAATAAATATTAAAAAAAAATTCTTTAAAAAAAACCAAAATTATATATAGATGTGCACAACAATTTTACAGAATTCCTAAAAAGTGAATTTTTTCCTCTGTTTCTCTTTGTATATATATATATTTTTTTTTTTTTAAATTAGAAATGAAATATATTCACGTTTTTGTAATATATATAGACAAATTTTTTTTCCTAAAAATTTGAGAGTAAGTTGTAGACATGGCCCTTTTGTCAATAATTGTCTTAGTTTGTATTTCCTAAAATCATGGAATATTTTCTTCTGTAACCACAGTGTAATTAATTATCAAAATCAGGAAGTTATTTAGGTTTGATCAATTGTCCCAGTAAAGCAAAAATTGGGGGGTTCTCGTCAGTATTTTTGACAGTGCTTTATGAACTTGGAAATAACCTTTTTTGGGGGAGGGGATTGAACCTATGGGCACTTTATTCCAGAGCTACATCCCAGCCCTTTTTATTTTTTATTTTAAGATAGGGTCTCACTAAGTTGCTTAGGGCCTTCTCAGTTGCTGAGGCTGGCTTTGAACTTGTGATCCTCCTATCTCAGTCTTACAAGTGTTGGGATTACAGATGTGCACCACTGTAGCAACTGAAAGTTACTTATTTTAAAAATTACAGATAGAAAGGATAAAACAGAGTATATGGCATATTGTAATGAGCTTTTAAAGCCCTCCTAACCAACTCCCTTATATTCCCATAGTTTTTATGTCGTCTATGGTATTTGCATTTTCTGTTAAATCTTAGGTCATATTTATTTCATTACTTTGTAATTCTATTGTCATTACTACTTTAGTTCCCTGAATTTTCTGCATTGCCTATTGACTATTTAATTCACTGGGTTTAGTTAAATACAGGTTGAGTGTCTCTTATCTGAAATACTTGAGATCAGAAGTGTTTTGGATTTTGGCTATTTTTGGGGTTTTGAAATATTTACATATACATAATGAGATATGGTGGAGGTGAGACACAGTTCTAAACATGAAATTCATTTGTTTCACATATACCTTATACACATAGCCTGAAGGTAACTTTATAAATTATTTATAATAATTTTGTACATGAAACAAAGTTTGGGTACATTGAGCCATTGGAGATCAGGTATGGGATTTTCTCATATCAGCACTCAAAATGTTTTAGATTTTGGCACATTTTGAATTTCAAATTTTGGAGTTATGGATGCTCAACCTGTATAATACCAGTGGATTCCTAAAATTCAAAGTATTTAAGTGGGATATGCTTGATATTTTTTTCCTGCACCGTTTTTTGACATGCTTCTGTATTCCCATCTTCTTGCTTTAGTTTGTGTATTGCCAAGTGTGTTGTGAGCCCTTCCACAAGTTTTGTTTAGAGGAGAACGAGCGCCCTCTGGAGGACCAGCTGGAAAATTGGTGTTGTCGTCGATGCAAGTTCTGTCATGTTTGTGGAAGGCAGCATCAGGCTACAAAGGTACAAAACATAATAATAGAACTAGTAGAGGATTCCTCTCTCCATATCTGCCTTCTGTTTTGAGGTTTTATGTCTATATTCTTTTCTCCTCTGACTTAATCTGTTTTGACTATTTAATTGGGTGTAATCAATTGCCTGATTCTGTGGAAAATGAATTTTGGAAATTTAGCAGAGAAAATGATACTGGAAAAAATTCCAAAAATCTATCTGATAATTTACCTACTGAGTGCTTTTCATAGGAAATAAATCTCTATTTTAATTGAGTAAGTGGTGTATGAGAAAATTTTAAGTTGTTCAAATGGTGTGCTATACTCACTTAAAGATATGTATGAAATGGGGTGCTAAGTAGAGGTATTTAGTGAAGGTGATGTGATGCCTGCTTTTTTTGCCATTGTATTCTCCTATAGCAACTGCTGGAGTGTAATAAGTGCCGAAACAGCTATCACCCTGAGTGCCTGGGACCAAACTATCCCACCAAACCCACAAAGAAAAAGAAAGTTTGGGTGAGTACGCACATTATGCTGTTTCAGAAAGAATTGTCATGGATTGGTTATGCTTATATAACTTTTAATAGGCATATCCTTGCTTGAGTATCTCAGTGTAATAATTTTTTTGCCTCATTAGGAAAAGTCATCTCAATAAAGAAGTAAAATCTAGAAATGAGTAGCATTGTGATCTTTTTATTTTTAATTTTTTAAAAAATATTTTTTAAAAAATTAAATAAAGATATTATGTTGGACACAATACCTTTATTTTATTTATTTTTTGTGGTGCTGAGGATCAATCCCAGGGCCTTGCATGTGCTAGGCAGGCACTCTACCGCTGAGCCACAACCCCAGCCCCTAATTAAACTAAAATTCCTGTTGAATTTCTTTTCTTCTTTTCCAGATATGTACAAAGTGTGTTCGCTGCAAGAGCTGTGGATCCACAACTCCAGGCAAAGGGTGGGATGCACAGTGGTCTCATGATTTTTCACTGTGCCATGATTGTGCCAAACTCTTTGCTAAAGGTACCCAAAAATCCAATTTTGCCCGTGTATGGTGTTTTGAAAGCGAATTGGCCTCTTTGGGGAATGAAGAACAGAATCTGACTTGTTGTGTCAAGGATGCCAGTTAGACACATTCCATGTTCCCACTGCTGCTCTTTCCTTTGCAGAGACTACTTAGAAACTGGAATATTTTGTTAACTTCCATGGGAAGTTTTTATCGTAGCTAACTGCAAATGAATGCTCTAAGCCAATAGAGCCAAAGTGTGACTTATATACATTTGATTGTACTTAATCCTCCCGCCTCAGCCTTTAATAGTTAGGCTAGGGGAAAAAAAAAAGGTAACCAATACCTTAGAGCTGTTATTTTATCGACCTAGACTAATAATGATATAAAGTCACTACTAGAATTATTTTAAGTAAAATAAGCAGATCAATTTAAAGAGTTCTATTTTATATATATTTATTTTTAGTTGTAGGTGGACACAATACCTTTATTTTATTTTTATGTAGTGCTGAGGATCAAACCCCATGCCTCACATGTGCTAGGCGAGCACTCTACCACTGAGTCACAACTCCAGCCCCTAAAGAGTTCTATTAAGTAATAAATAATAGAGGGGATACACAGATAAAGCAAATATATGAAGGCTGTATATAATACTGGATTTTAGAAAACGCTGCTCAGAGCTCTTTTCCAGTAGAAACACTGGAAATAGAGAAAAGTTAAATTAATTGTTGTGTACTCCTATATTGCCACCTCTTTTTGAAAATTTAAACATTTTTTCAAATGTTTAAGGTATTCTCATGACAGTTATAAATGGGTCTAAAGAAGAGAAATAGTGGCACATACAAATCTTTCCTAGGAATATTCTAGAAGCCCAGAATAATCTTAACATTTAGTAGATGTGTCAAGGTTCATAGCAGATCCATGCTACGGTTCAGAAGTGAATGCTAGTCTGGAAGAATACAGATTTTAGATTAGGTTGAGGCCCTTAAAAGTATTGGTATGTGAGCCCAAAGCACTACTACAATCTTTACTCTGCTTTCAGGAAACTTCTGCCCTCTCTGTGACAAGTGTTATGATGATGATGACTATGAGAGTAAGATGATGCAGTGTGGGAAGTGTGATCGCTGGGTCCATTCCAAATGTGAGAATCTTTCAGGTACAGAAGGTTGGAGTCTTTTTATTACAGTTTCTTTCTCCCTTGGTACTGCTACATTTATAGCCCCCAGAGCACTATAAACCTAAAATTGTGGTAGTGCTATTTAAAGTTCTTTAAAAATAAGTTATTGTTTAGTCTTTAGAATAAGTAGCATTGTATTGTTTGTGCTCACTTCTTCTGAACACATCCCTTTACTTCTTTGTTGTCCTTTGTGGGTACCATAACCTATTGGTTCTCGAATAACCAAATCCTGGATTAGTATTAATTAATGAAGTCCCTTTGGGAGATCAATGTATACAATGTCCTACAGTATTGTAGCCTCTTAGGTGGGTTTCTAACATACAGCTTTATAGTAAGGTCAGTGGCATAGTTTACCTTCTCTCCCTCTCTTGCTCTTCAGAGGCCCTCCTTATTGTAGTTTTTTGTTTTCCTAGATGAGATGTATGAGATTCTATCTAATTTGCCGGAAAGTGTGGCCTACACTTGTGTCAACTGTACTGAGCGGCATCCTGCTGAGTGGCGATTGGCTCTTGAAAAAGAGCTACAGATTTCTCTGAAGCAAGTTCTGACAGCTTTGTTGAATTCACGGACTACCAGCCATTTGCTACGCTTCCGGCAGGTAGACTGAAGTTGCATTTTGTTTTCTGAAAGCTTGTTCTTACATGGTTTTTACCTAAATAAATAAATTTTTAAAATTATTTGTATTATATTTATATTACCTAACAATAGAAAGGATTTTTTTTCTTGTTTTGCTTTTTTCTTCTTTTAGTTTTATAGTTACTTGTTTTGGTGATAACCATTAGGGAAAAGTTTTAGGATAAGTTCTTCTGTATAATAGGAAGTAGAAAGGGACTGTATCTTCAAAGGCGTTGCTACTATAATAAGAAATTTGGATTTTTTACTCTGTTGATAATGGGGAGCCAGTGAAGAAGTTTACCCACGGGTCAAGTTGTTTATTTAGAGGGAAAAAAAAAATTCTCCCTGGAGTAGAGAAGAAGGATTAAGAGAGGTTTAAGCCTAGAGGCAAGAGCAATATTGGGAGGCAGGCATAGTAATCTACTTGAAAACTTCTGCTTTTTGTCCAAGTTGTGAACTATGTGTCTATAAAGTAGTCAGTCATTGGAAAAGGTATAATATGGAAAGAACCACCTAGATAACTTTAACTCGAAGTGAGGCTGATGTTTCACCATAAAGCTCCTTTTTTGTTGTTTTTGAGTAAGAAAATGAATTATCCATGTCATATTCCAAAGGAGTTATAGACATAGTTTCAATTTCAAAATTTTTTATAGTTGTAGATGGACAGCATGCCTTTATTTAAATTTTTTTTTTTTTAATGTGGTGCTAAGGATCGAACCCAGTGCTTCACATATGCTAGGCAAGTTGTAGCCACTGAGCTACAACCCCAGCCCACAGTTTCAGTTCTTTATACTAGGTTTGAAAATTATCAAGGAAAACTCCTAAGCTAGCCTAACTAAGCTGTTAGGTACTAGGCTTATTTTAACTTCTCAGAAATCATTTTCACTTTTGAGAAATCTTTGGTTCTTTTTGTGTTCTCTTTTTTTTACCATCTTTATTAACTTTAATAGAATGTGCATGGATGCCTCATTTTAAGAGTTAGGTTAAAGAAACATCTGTTTTCTGGCAACAGGCTGCGAAGCCTCCAGACTTAAACCCTGAGACAGAGGAGAGTATACCTTCTCGCAGCTCTCCAGAAGGACCTGATCCCCCAGTTCTTACTGAGTTCAGCAAGCAGGATGATCAACAACCTTTAGATCTGGAGGGAGTCAAGAGGAAAATGGACCAGGGGAGCTACACATCTGTGGTATGTCTCCACAGCAAACCACCAGTGTTTCAAGTGCCAATTTAGTTTTCTTAGATCTTTGTGGAATGATGCTGGGTATAAATAAATTTTAAAAATTATTTGTATTATATTTAGAAATGTCATCTGGCTTTAAATAACCTAAAAGTATATGAGCTATTTTAGCCCTGTGATTCAATAGAAGGGTTGGTTATTATATGGTGATATCTTAAAATGTTATTTTTTTATTTGGCTTTCAACTGAGTTCTCTGAAAATTATTTTTTATGAGAGGAAGTGCTAAGAACTGTTTATGGGAAAAATGCTAATGTGAGGTTAATGTGTTCTCTTTTGAGCTCAAATCTGAATAATGTGTCTTTATGATATTCAAGTATAGATAGATTATCTTAATTTTATGATTTTAAGAATGTATAGGGATTTATCATTTGTTATCTCATGGTCTGTATTTGCTCTTCAATTCTATACTCATTTTGTTCCAAGTAAAAAATTGTGAGCCTGTCTAGGTAACTTACCATGATAGAGCTAATTTGTTTGCATTCTTGCCTTATTAGCCTTGCATCTCTTGATTGCTTTAAGTTAGTTGTGAAGTGAATCCCACAGGCCTCAGCCAAAGAGGAATGACACTATATTATTAAAATAGGGTGTGAGTTTTCTGTTGGATCTCTGTGCTGGAAGAGGAAGTGATTTTGAGAGTTTGCTGTTTTATGAATAATTAATATTTTATTTTTGTATACAGTTGGAGTTCAGTGATGATATCGTGAAGATCATTCAAGCAGCCATTAATTCAGATGGAGGGCAGCCAGAGATTAAAAAAGCCAACAGCATGGTCAAGTCCTTCTTTATTCGGGTAAATGATATTAACAGTTCTGTTTTTATTGCTTACCTATGACTAATTGCTCCATGAATACAATGGACTTATTCTCTTTTCTGTTTGCTTTGCCAAGTGTACAAAACACCTTTTAATTTTATTTGTTCCTCTGCTTCTTTGGGAGGAAGTTGCCTGAGTGGATTGTTCTTTGCCTTGGTAGCCTGAAATTATTTTCAATATTAACAGTGATATTGGTGTGAAGTTGTCAGTTTTTTTGTGGTTTCCAAATGAATGGTAACATGTTTACATTGTTTGTTTTTCTTTTAGCAAATGGAACGAGTTTTTCCATGGTTCAGCGTCAAAAAGTCAAGGTTTTGGGAGCCAAATAAAGTGTCAAGCAAGTAAGTTAATTAAGTACTGTACTTTCTTGTCAACTAGAAATCAGAGTTCTAGGAAGTTTTAATATTAAAAATGAATCAGTTGAAGGCTAGGGTTGTGGCTCAGCAGTAGAGCACTTAGTTTGTCTGGCTTGTGTGAGGCACTGGGTTCGATTCTCAGCACCACATAAAAATAAATAAAAATAAAACAAAGGTATTGTGTATATCTACAACTAAAAAAATAAAATTAAAAAAAAATGAATCTGTTGAGATGCCTTTTTAGTGCTGGTTTTGGAGCCAGCATTTTAGTTCATTGTAGGCTATTGCCTCTTTTTTCACTTACATATTTGTTAGGTTTTAGGGAATTTTATTTAATTTGTGGCATACGGACAAAACATATGTCTTACAGCTGCATAGTTGTTATAATTGGGTTCTGTTTTACTTAGTTTAAACGATGCTGTGTACTACTCTTGATTCTTCATATTTAACCTTTAATTTTATTCCAGTAAATTCTTTTGATTTGGGGAAAAGGACAGTACTGGGGATGAAACCCAAGGACTCGCACATGTTAGGCAAGCAATCTACTGCTGAGCTACGTCACCAGCCTGTTTTTTTTTTGTTGTTTTTTTTTTGTAGTTGTAAACAAATAGCATGCCTTTCTTTCTTTCTTTCTTTCTTTCTTTCTTTCTTTCTTTCTTTCTTTCTTTCTTTCTTTATTGTGGTGCTGAGGATCAAACCCAGTGCCTCACACATGCTAGGCAAGCGCTCTGCCACTGAGCTACAGCTCCAAAACCCCAGCCTGTTTTTGATATTTGAAAGGGTTATCAATTATTTCTAGAAGTTTAGGCAAGAGTCATATATTGAGATTATGATATTAAAATTAAAGTTCTGTGTATTTTGGCAGTTTTCCAATTCTGTGACTTATTCTTACATTTTGTAAATAGCTCAAACATGGGTCCAAGACCTGATGATATCAAGAATTTGATTTTTATGGTTTTAGGTATATTGTAGGAGTTCAATAAATACTTGTTGAATCAATTATTTTCAGCAGTGGGATGTTACCAAACGCAGTGCTTCCACCTTCACTTGACCATAATTATGCTCAGTGGCAGGAGCGAGAGGAAAACAGCCACACTGAGCAGCCTCCTTTAATGAAGAAAATCATTCCAGCTCCCAAACCCAAAGGGCCTGGAGAACCAGACTCACCAACTCCTCTACATCCTCCTACTCCACCAATTTTGAGTAAGGCACCAAAGAGTTATCCATTTTTTGCTAGATGCAAATAATTGACATTGTGAATCTAAATTTAACATACTTGAAAAAAAATTTAATATGCTTGGATATCAAAAACCAATTTTCAGGTCATCCTTAAATGTAATAGCATCATTGTTTTTGCTTACTTGAGATGTTAACAAGACCTTAAGGTAAAAATATTTGAGTATTATGTAGATGCTGAAATAGCATAACTTTGAACACTTTTCCCCAAAGTATTTTTTTATACACTATTTTAGCTGGAAATCAGAAATAGTACTGCTAATTTTAACTGAATGTCTTCTGGGTTCCAAGGTACTGACAGGAGCCGAGAAGACAGTCCAGAGCTGAACCCACCCCCAGGCATAGAAGATAATAGACAGTGTGCATTATGTTTAATGTACGGTGATGACAGTGCTAATGTAAGTATTTTGGGACCAGAGATCCTAGTTAACAAGCACTTCACATGGATGGTTTATCCTTTGTGTCAACACTTGTTGGCTGAGTACTGTTTAATGAATGTTTCCTTAAAAGTGGCTCTTAAATTTTTTTTTAAATAATTGATTTAGTTGATTCAAAGCTAAATTAATTGATTTGCCTTAAATTAATTTGTCAAGTAATTTTATTTCATTTTTTGTGGTATTGGGATGGAACCTAGGGCCTCACACATGGTAGCAAGCATTCTGCCCCTGAACTCCATCCCTAGCCCTGATGTCCAGTATTTTCTATTAGAAGTTTCTCAAAAATTTCATGAAAGTCAATAAAATATAAGTTACATTTTACATAGCTTGTTTAGTTTAATGTAAGCCAGCAGAGTGGTTAAGAGCTCCATCTGTGACGGCAGCCTAGGTTCTCTTCTGTGCTTTACCACCTACCCTTTGACCTTAGTTAGTGGTGTAATTTCTGACCCTTAGTTACAGCTTTAAAATGAAGATGATAATGCTTATCTCACGGTGATTGTAAGGATTAAATGAAATAATGTATGCAAAGCCTTCATTTAATGCTTGGCACATAGTAAGCTTTCAATTTGGGCAAGCAGGGCAGGGGATTTAACCCAGAGACAATTTACCCACTGAGCTACATCCTTAGTCCTTGTATTGGGGGGGGGGGGTGGACTTTAACTTGTGATCCTTTTGTCTCAGCCTCCCAAGCCCCTGGGATTACAGGCGTGTGCCACTGCACCTGGCTAAGCTTTCATTTTTTTCAAAAAGTATTTATTTAATACAGTCTGAGAGAATTGGTTTTGAAATATGGTTTTAAAGAAGTCAATGCATATTTATATAAACTTACCACATTGCTCATTTTTATATTCTCTAGATTTATAAAAATTTCCAATCTATAGAAAAAGTAAGCTAGGAAAGAGGGAAGTAGAAAACAGAAACATTGAAAGCTGAATTGTGATTTTTGTGTACATTCCTAAATTACAGAATTAAATTTGTTTTCTTGAGGTAATCTTCTCTGAAGTAAAGCTAATATCAAGGAAAGCCTCCTTTGACAATTTATTCTTTTTTTTTAATATTATATTTTAGTTGTTGATGGACCTTTATTTTTTTTAGAATTTTTTTAGACGTTTGTGGACTTGTATTCTATTCATTTATTTATATGCGGTGCTGAGAATCGAACCTAGTGCCTCACATGTGTGAGGCAAACACTGTACCACTGAGCCATAACCCCAGCCCAACATTTTATTCATTAAGAAAAAAAATTTTTTTATTTCATAGGATGCTGGCCGTTTGCTATACATTGGCCAAAATGAATGGACACATGTAAATTGTGCTTTGTGGTCAGCGGAAGTGTTTGAAGATGATGATGGGTCACTAAAGAATGTGCATATGGCTGTGATCAGAGGCAAGCAGCTGGTAAGAACTTAATGTGTAAATTTTATGAAAGAGATGTCCTTTCATTTTCTAGGTGTTCTTTCTGTGGGTAAAGAAATATGGTTTTAAAGAAGTCAATGCATATTTATATAAACTTACCACATTGCTCATTTTTATATTCTCTAGATTTATAAAAATTTCCAATCTATACAAAAGTACTTGTTGGCTAACTACTCTGTCTTCAGAGTAGTTAGCCAACAAGTATTGACATACATTATAGACAGATTGCTATTCTGATCTTTGGAAAAGGGATACAAAAGCAATACAAAACAAAGTATTACCTAATTTGGGAGACAATTCAAATATGTGAGAAAAGTATCAATGTATTAGGGGATTTAGACTGAATGAGATCTCTGAGGCCTCAGTTGAGTCAATATTCTAAGGTTCCACAGAATAAATTCATATAAATACATGAAGAAGAGATATGGGAAGTGATCAGTTGCAGTTGAGAGTAATCAGAAACAGCAGGAGAAAAATTTAAAAGCTCTGTTTTGAAGGAGAGGAGAAAATGAAGGATTATAAAACAAGCTGTCCAACAAACAAAACAGCACTTGCAAAGAAGCAGTAGTAAATTGTGTGGTGAGTATAAACAGAAAGTCCTTCCTGGAGGAGTCCAGATTGAATAATAAAATAAGGTGGTAACATACAGGGCCAGTTGAAGAAAACCTTGGAGTCATTTGATAAGTTTGTTATGTCAGTCTAATAACTGAAGAACCATTATGTTTCTGACTAGTAAAACCTTTTTAAAAAAGAGTTGCTTTGAGATGTTTTCAGGATTGATTTTTAAGAGTTTCATGTCTTGTAAATCAGTCATTAATCCTAGAAAAATTATGTTTTAGATCTAATTCTAAATCCAGTTGTAGTGTTTAAATGTATAGCTAAAAGGCTGTATGGTATGGATAGTCGTAGAGAGAGGATTTGAGGAAGCTAGTCTGATCCTCAGGATTTTTCTGGAGTTCAACGGATTACCATTCAACAAAATTAGTTTTAGGAAAGCGAGAATGGGATGATTCTATAGAGGAGATGACAAACATTTAAAACATCTGAAAGTCTGAATAGGGCTCTGTTTTTTGTTTTGTTTTGTTTTTAAGCGATGTGAATTCTGCCAAAAGCCAGGAGCCACTGTGGGTTGCTGTCTTACATCCTGCACCAGCAACTATCATTTCATGTGTTCCCGAGCCAAGAACTGTGTCTTCCTGGATGATAAAAAAGTGTATTGCCAACGACATCGGGATTTGATCAAAGGCGAGGTGAGATAGCTTTAGTTGCTTTTATGTATATGTTTGACTTTATTTATTTAAAGCAGTGTTAGGTTCACTGCAAAATTAAGCAGAAGGTACAGAGATTTCCTATATACTCCCTGCCTCTACACAATATGCAGCCTCCCTCATTAATTGTGTCCCCCTCCAGAGTTGTCTATTTGTTGCAATTGATGAACCTCTATCAATACATCATTACCACTCAGCGACTATACTTTATACTTGGGTTCACTCTTGGTAGTGTACATTCTATGGGTTTAGGCAAATGTATGATAACAGGTATTCACCACTATAATATCAAGCAAATGTTTTTACTGCCCTAGAATGTGTTCTGCCTGTCAACACCACCAACCCTTGGCAACCACTGATCTTTTTACTGTCTCCATGAATTTGCCATTTCCAGAGCTTCCTATATAGTTGGAATGCTATAGTATGTAGCTTTTTCAAACCAGTTTATTCCAATTCACAATATACCTTTAAGTTTCTTCCACATCTTTTTATGGCTTATAGTAGCTTTTTGAATTCTTCAGGAATTTAGGAAAAAATACTAAAAAAAAAATAGCAAAATGGTAAATTCAGTTTTGCTTTTCCTACTAGGCATTCCAAGGGTCACCTATTTATGAAAAATAAAGAGGTGCTTCTAGTAAGATTGAAAGGTGATTTTGAGATGCTCAGAGAGAGCCAGTACCATGAATATAATGTGTAAAGAGACAATCTATTAACAGCAATCTTGGGTTTTTATTTAAGGTGGTTCCTGAGAATGGATTTGAAGTTTTTAGAAGAGTCTTTGTGGACTTTGAAGGAATCAGCTTGAGAAGGAAGTTCCTCAATGGTTTAGAACCAGAAAATATCCACATGATGATTGGTATGACCTGGACCTGGGTTATTGGGAGGACTGTGTTGTTATTTGGGCACTTTCTAGTCCTCAGTTATAAAATGATTCCTCCCATTATGACTTCTAATCAGTTCTTTTCTTGATCAGGCTCAATGACGATTGACTGCTTAGGAATTCTGAATGATCTCTCTGACTGTGAAGACAAGCTCTTTCCTATTGGATATCAGTGAGTAAAGAGAGGACAGCAACCCTTACAACTTGAGCACTCTGAAGCTATGTACATACAGATCATTAAATGTAGAGGCATTGCTTGTTAGCTAGTTTTTAATTGCTGTAAAAAATTTACTTTTTTTCCTAGTTCCCTAGTTCATTAGCTTGTAGATTAGGACTAACCTTTCAAGTCAGGTAAATCCTGTAAGAAGCAAAGTGTTATTGATATAATTTTAGAATAATTTCCAAATAAAACCTAAATAGAAAACACAGGATCAGTCTCTTTAAGATTCCTCTAAATCCCAGTCTCGGATTCAAAAATCCAGATCTTTTCACAGATCAAGCACCTCATATCCTGTCCCAATCCCCGCCCCCTCCCCACCCCCCCGCTTCTTTTACAGTGCTGCGGATTTATTTTATAGATCTTTCTAAAATTTAAGTCCCCATAATAATCATCGAATTCTCCAGTCAGAACTTATATCTTTTATATGAAATAGGTAGTTTAAGTATCCTACAAGCTGACAGTATAAATTCAAAATTACCCTTCTACCTCTCCCTTATTGGAGTCTCATTTTGCAGTTTATGCTTCAATTTATTCTGCATTCTAATTCTGATAACACAAACTATACTTGACATGTAGTTGGCAGCTCATTGTACAAACATTCAGCAGATTTGAAGCAATTGTATTTCTTTTGTCTTGTGTTTCTCCAAAAGGAAACACCTCTGGTTTGTTCTTTACTTTAGGACCTCACTTTGTATACATTGTGGAGGTTAATAACTATTTTTAGTAGTGGTGGTGTTTTTCTTTTTCTGAGTTTAGGATATTTTACTATTTTATGTACCTGCTTACAATTTAATTTTAAAAAGATCTTGTGCTATTTCCTGAGAGTCTAAGAAATAGTAAGAACTTCAAAAACTTGTCAAAACCTTAAAGCTTTCTGGAGTGAGCAATAGATCATCCATTATCAGTGGAATCTATACCAAGAACCCATGAAATAAAGGTAAATTCTCTAAATCAAGACAGGTAACCCAGGATGAGGAGAGGTTTGACAATGTCAGTTTCTGTTTCTGTTCTCTCATTTGTGATTTTTCCCTATCTGTTTGCCAGGTGTTCCCGAGTGTACTGGAGCACCACAGATGCTCGCAAGCGCTGTGTGTACACGTGCAAGATAGTGGAATGCCGTCCTCCAGTTGTAGAGCCAGATATCAACAGCACTGTTGAACACGATGAAAATCGGACCATTGCCCACAGTCCATCATCGTTTTTAGGTTAGTTTTTAGTTGAAACAGGACTTGAGTTTGGGGAGTATGTACTGAGACTGAAAGATGAAAGAAAAGCCATTTATATGGGAGGTCTCCTTTGTTTCTAGCTTGACATTTACCAAATAGCTTGCTTTTTATTGTCTCATTTGTTTGATATTTTATTTTAATCTTTTTCATTTAAGAGTTTTTATTTTCTACCACAGAAAGTTCATCTAAAGAGAGTCAGAGTACAGCTGAAATTCTAAGTCCTCCATCACCAGACCGACCTCCTCATTCGCAAGCCTCTAGCTCCTGTTATTATCATGTCATCTCAAAAGTCCCTAGGATTCGAACACCCAGTTACTCTCCTACACAGAGATCCCCTGGCTGTCGGCCATTGCCTTCTGCAGGTAAAGGACTTTAATGACCTACTTGACCCAGGGTCAGCCCAAAGACGAATTTGTAATTCTTTTAGGCAACCTTATCTTGGTGACTTTTGCTACAGAAAAGAGATTTTTTTAAGAAATATTTATTTAGTTGTAGATGAACACACAGTATCCTTATTTATTTTTATGTGGTGCTAAGGATTGAACCCAGTGCCCACTGAACTACAGCCTCAGCCCCTGAAAATAGATTTTCAATTACCTGTAGTTACATGTAGACAAGTCATTAAAACCAGTGACTTCCACATATTTGTTCTGTCTGTAATAGAATTTCTTACTTTTTCTCTTTTGTTCAGGAAGTCCTACCCCAACCACTCATGAAATAGTCACAGTAGGTGATCCTTTACTCTCCTCTGGACTGCGAAGCATTGGCTCCAGGCGACACAGTACTTCTTCCTTGTCACCCCAGCGGTCTAAGCTCAGGATAATGTCTCCAATGAGAACTGGGAATACTTATTCCAGGAATAGTGTTTCCTCAGCCTCCACCATTGGGACCCCTACAGATCCTGAGTCAAGTGCCAAAGCAGTTGATCATAACTTAGGGCCACTGAATTCAAGTGCTACCGTAGGGCACAGCACTCCCACATCTTCAAGTTTGCAAAGAACGGTAGTCACTGTAGGCTCTAAAACCAGTCACTTGGATGGATCTTCATCTTCAGAAATGAAGCATTCTGGTGCTTCAGATGTGACATCCAAGGGCTCCTCTTTAAAGGGAGAAAAAATCAAAATGCTGAGTTCCAAGAGTTCAGAGGGATCTGCACATAACCTGGCTTACCCTGGAATTCCTAAATTAGCTCCACAGGTTCATAACACAGCTTCTGGAGAATTAAATGCTAGTAAAATCAGCAATTTTGCTGAACCTTCTTCAGTGCCATTTTCTTCTAAAGAGGCCCTCTCCTTCCCCCAACTCCATTTGAGAGGACAAAGGAATGATCGAGACCAACACACAGATTCTACCCAACTGACTAATCCTTCTCCAGATGAAGATACTGAAATCAAAACCTTAAAGCTTTCTGGAGTGAGCAACAGATCATCCATTATCAGTGAACATGTGGCATCTAGTTCCAGAGACAGGAGACAAAAGGGGAAAAAGTCTTGTAAAGAAACTTTCAAAGAAAAGCATGCCAGTAAATCTTTTTTGGAACCTGGACAGGTGACAACTGGTGAGGAAGGAAACCTAAAGCCAGAATATGTGGATGAGGTTTTGACTTCTGAATTTATGGGGCAACGGCCATGTAATAATGTTTCTTCTGATAAGATTGGAGATAAAGTCCTTTCTGTTTCAGGAGTCCCCAAAGTTCCATCCATGCAAGTAGAAGGACCTGCCAAGGAATTACAAGCACCCCGGAAACGCACAGTCAAAGTGACATTGACACCTTTAAAAATGGAAAGTGAGAATCAGTCCAAAAATGCACTGAAAGAAAGTGGTCCTGCCTCCCCTTTGCAAATAGAGTCAGCATCACCAACAGAACCAGTTTCAGTTTCCGAAAGTTCAGGAGATGGGCCAGTGGCTCAACCAAGCCCCAATAATGTCTCATCCCAGGATTCTCAAAGTAACAACTATCAGAATCTTCCAGTACAGGACAGAAACTTAATGCTTCCAGATGGCCCCAAAGCTCAGGAGGATGGCTCTTTTAAGAGGAGATATCCCCGTCGCAGCGCCCGTGCACGTTCTAACATGTTCTTTGGGCTAACCCCACTCTATGGAGTCAGATCCTATGGCGAAGAAGATATTCCATTCTATAGCAGCTCCACCGGGAAGAAGCGAGGCAAGAGATCAGCTGAAGGGCAGGTGGATGGGGCCGATGACTTGAGCACTTCAGATGAGGACGACTTGTATTACTACAACTTCACAAGAACAGTCATTTCTTCAGGTGGAGAAGAACGGCTGGCATCCCATAATTTATTTCGGGAAGAGGAGCAATGCGATCTTCCAAAAATTTCACAGTTGGATGGTGTTGATGATGGGACAGAGAGTGATACCAGTGTCACAGCAACAACAAGGAAGAGCAGCCAGATTCCAAAAAGAAGTAGTAAAGAAAATGGAACAGAAAACTTAAAGATTGATCGACCTGAAGATGCTGGAGAAAAAGAACATGTCATTAAGAGTTCTGTTGGCCACAAAAATGAGCCAAAGATGGATAACTGTCATGCAGTAAGCAGAGTTAAAACACAGGGACAGGATTCCTTAGAAGCTCAGCTCAGCTCATTGGAGTCAAGCCGCAGGGTCCATACAAGTACCCCCTCAGACAAAAATTTATTGGACACCTATAATACTGAGCTTCTGAAATCAGATTCAGACAATAACAACAGTGATGACTGTGGGAATATCCTGCCTTCAGACATTATGGACTTTGTACTGAAGAATACTCCATCCATGCAGGCTTTGGGTGAGAGCCCAGAGTCATCTTCCTCAGAACTCCTGAATCTTGGTGAAGGTTTGGGTCTTGATAGTAATCGGGAAAAGGACATGGGTCTTTTTGAGGTATTTTCTCAGCAGCTGCCCACAACAGAGCCTGTGGACAGTAGTGTCTCTTCCTCTATCTCAGCAGAGGAGCAGTTTGAGTTGCCTCTAGAGCTGCCATCTGATCTCTCTGTCCTGACCACCCGAAGTCCTACGGTCCCTAGCCAGAATCCCGGTAGACTGGCTGTCATCTCAGACTCGGGAGAGAAGCGAGTAACCATCACAGAGAAATCTGTAGCCCCCACTGAAGGTGACTCAGCACTGCTGAGTCCAGGAGTAGATCCTACTCCTGAAGGCCACATGACTCCTGATCACTTTATCCAAGGACACATGGATGCAGACCACATCTCCAGCCCTCCTTGTGGTTCAGTGGAGCAAGGTCACGGCAACAGTCAAGATTTAACTCGAAACAGTAGCACCCCTGGCCTTCAGGTACCTGTTTCCCCCACTGTTCCCATCCAGAACCAGAAGTATGTGCCCAATTCTACTGATAGTCCCGGCCCATCTCAGATTTCTAATGCAGCTGTCCAGACCACTCCACCCCACCTGAAACCAGCCACTGAGAAACTCATTGTTGTTAACCAGAACATGCAGCCACTTTATGTTCTCCAAACTCTTCCAAATGGAGTGACCCAAAAAATCCAGTTGACCTCTTCTGTTAGTTCTACACCCAGTGTGATGGAGACAAATACTTCAGTATTGGGACCCATGGGAGGTGGCCTCACCCTAACCACAGGACTAAATCCAAGCTTGCCAACTTCTCAACCTCTGTTCCCTCCTGCTAGCAAAGGATTGCTCCCCATGCCTCATCACCAGCACTTACATTCCTTCCCTGCAGCTACTCAAAGTAGTTTCCCACCCAACATCAGCAGTCCTCCTTCAGGCCTGCTTATTGGGGTTCAGCCTCCTCCAGATCCCCAGCTTTTGGTTTCAGAAGCCAGCCAGAGGACAGACCTCAATACCACAGTAGCCACTCCTTCCTCTGGACTCAAGAAAAGACCCATATCTCGTCTACATACCCGAAAGAATAAAAAACTTGCTCCCTCTAGTACCCCTTCAAACATTGCCCCCTCTGATGTGGTTTCTAATATGACACTGATTAACTTCACACCCTCCCAGCTTTCAAATCATCCCAATCTATTAGATTTGGGGTCACTTAATACTTCATCTCATCGAACTGTCCCCAACATCATAAAAAGATCTAAATCTGGCATCATGTATTTTGAACAGGCACCCCTGTTACCACCACAGAGTGTGGGAGGAACTGCTGCCACAGCGGTGGGCACATCAACAATAAGCCAAGACACTAGCCACCTCACATCAGGGCCTGTGTCTGGCTTGGCATCCAGTTCCTCTGTCTTGAATGTGGTATCCATGCAAACTACAACAACTCCTACAAGTAGTGCATCAGTTCCAGGACATGTCACCTTAACTAACCCGAGGTTGCTTGGTACTCCAGATATTGGCTCAATAAGCAATCTTCTAATCAAAGCCAGCCAGCAGAGCCTGGGCATTCAGGAACAGCCTGTGGCTCTACCACCAAGTTCAGGAATGTTTCCACAAATGGCGACATCACAGACTCCCTCTACTGCTGCAATGACTGCAGCATCTAGCATCTGTGTGCTCCCCTCTTCTCAGACTACGGGCCTGACAGCTCCATCACCAGCTGGCGAGGCAGAAGAACATTATCAGCTGCAGCACGTGAACCAGCTCCTGGCCAGCAAAGCCGGGATCCTTTCTTCCCAGCGTGACCTTGATTCTGCTTCTGGGACCCAGGTATCCAACTTCACCCAGACAGTAGATGCTCCTAATAATGTGGGGCTAGAGCAGAACAAGGCTTTACCCTCAGCCATGCAAGCCAGCTCATCCTCTCCAGGGGCCTCTCCATCCTCTGGACAGCAGTCCGGGAGCCCCTCAGTGCTGGCCCCCACTAAACCCAAACCAAAAATCAAACGGATTCAGCTGCCCCTGGATAAAGGGAATGGCAAGAAGCACAAAGTTTCCCATTTGAGGACCAGTTCTTCTGAAGCACACATTCCAGACCAAGAAGCCAACACAGCATCCCTGACCTCAGTCATAGGGTGAGCCATGCAGTATTGTCTCTGTTGTGTCTGCAGGATTTTATGCTCTGGATTAGGGGCTGTTGAAATAGAAGTCTTTGGGGAGGGACTTTTTGGAAGTAAATTGCATTAGTTGGGTTTTCTAGGTATTAACTTTGATTTTTTTTTTTTAATTACCAGTGGTGATTAATAGAGCAAAATTCAACTCCACAAGTGAACAGTTTGACTCTTGGATAGAACTCTACCTGTAAATATACTTTGTTCTGATTTCAAATGGTGTTGCTGTTTGCTCCTGTTTCTTTTTTGCCGAGTTTTTACAGATACTAGAAAATGCTTATTCCTAACTGGTGGGCAAAGCCCCCTGATGTACGCTCAGAGTCCTTTTTTAAAATGTCCTTATATAAAATATACAAGTGGGGGTGGGGATGTGGCTCAAGCGGTAGCGTGTTTGCCTGGCATGCGCAGGGCGCTAGGTTCGATCCTCAGCACCACATGAAAATAAAATAAAGATGTTATGTCCACCGAAAAACTTTTAAAAAAATAAATATTTTTTAAAAATTTAAAAAAATATACAAGTGATTTATATATATATATATATATATGTATATATATTTAGTTATAGATGGATACAATACCTTTATTTATTTATCTTTATACGGTGCTGAGGATTGGATCGAGGGCCTCACATGGGCTAGGCAAGCACTATACCACTGAGCTACAACCTCACCCCAACAAGCGATTTTTATTTTATTTTATTTTTTGGTATCAGGGATTGAACCAGGGCCATTCAAGCCACTGAGCTACATACTCGGCCCCTTTTTGATATTTTATTTTGAGATAGAATCTCACTAAGTTACATAGGGACTTGCTAATTTGCTGAGGCTGGCTTTGAACTCAGGATCCTTCTACATCAGCCTCCCAAGCCACTGGGATTGCAGGCATGCACCACTGCACCTGGCCTACAAGTGAATTTTTACATATGTATACACTTATGTCACCACCACTCAGATCAAGATATAGAATACTTTCAGTGCCCCAGAAGGCTCCTTGTGCTATCTCTTGGTCAGTACCCTTCCAGGTAACCATTATTCTAACCTTTACGACCATAAGTATTTATTGTCGGCTCACAAATTTTATCAGCTCTTGATAGAGTCATTTCTTTAGACTGGCCTCCACATTTAATTTGAAACATATGTACCTATAGTTTCATGCAAAGATACAAATACTTTTCTTCTCTACTCCAGGACTCCAGGAGCAGAGGCTGAGCAGCAGGATACAGCTAATGTGGAACAGTCTTCACAAAAGGAATGTGGGCAGCCTGCAGGGTAAGCTTAAAAATTAATTCTCTAAAATTAATACCTCAACTTTGTCATTTAAAAAATAGTTCCTCCCTATTTTCATAGGCTTTGGTTTTGTTTTCATTTTTGCTTAATGGAATTAATAAAAGCTTATAAAAATCAGGGCATAGAATCATTTGGATAATAGTTTCCTATTTGTTCTGCCCACCCCTTCTCAATCTATTCCCTAAAGGTGGCTGTTGGTAATAATATATGGTTTAGTTTGTATGTGAATATGTATTTTTTTATATATAAAAGGAATAACAGCATAGCTACTATCTTTTTCTTGTTTTTTTTTTTTTCCATGTACGGGATTGTTTTCTATATATCTTTCTGTGCTAGTAAAAGTCACTTTTTTAGTGGCTGCCTCCAGTACTATTATGAGGATCTATAATGATGTATTTAACTTCTTTATTTAATATATATTGATACACATTTGGATTGTTTAAAGATCTATTAATTTTACAAAGTGAAAATTGATGGTTTACTAGTTCATGCAGCTTACTTTTAGTTAAACCAGCTAGCTTATTTGAGTAACTGTAGAATAGCTTCTGACAAGTGTCCTTTCATTTTTTCCTAAAACTAACGATATGAGAAGAATTTTAAGAGCACATTTCACAACTTCAAAAGCAAATGTCAGTATTTGGAAAGGAATCTCATCAAAGACAGTTTTATTTTGTGGGCCATTCAGTAGTATGGTGGTGGTGGTGGTGGTCATTTAACAAGTTTTGTATAATTAACAACTGAATGATGTTCAAGAACAAGGACAGTATATAATGCCTAGCTGGTGTTGTATCTTACACCTGGTTTTATTTTCATTTAGACAAGCAGCTATTCCAGAGATTCCAGCAACCCAAAATCCAGCAAATGAGCAAGAAAGTACAGGTATGTGACTAATTGGTTAGAGTCACAATTTTAAGCTAGGAGTATTAAAATTACCTACTTTACTTCTAAGCTTCAAGCAGTTAAGTGATTGGTTGAAGTTAGACAGAAAGTCAGCACCTGTCTTCTAGCATTCTTCCACTACATAATCTGTGATCATCTGTCAGCTAAGGGACACAAAACATTGCCTGTAAAATCTCTTCTGCTCTACTGGCTTTAACAATGAAATTTAAATAGCTAGAGATAATCTGACTTTATCCCTTAGGTGTTGCCATAGGAAACCAAGAACCATTTTATTAGATGGATTTTGGTTCCACCACCAGGTACATATCCTAGCACTTTTCATCTTTTGTGACAAATTTCGGTCAGGAAACAACTGGGCCCTGCATTCAAGATCAGAAGCCATGAATATAAGGCCTTTCCCTGTTCCATAGAGGGTTCTCTTCTGGATAGAGGGTTCTCTTCTTCAGAAGAGAACAAGGTGGAGAACGGGCCCAGGCATGAGATTTATTGTCACATCCTGATAATTTGCTGCTGTTGCAGGGGGGCTGACACATCTATTGATGGAGGAAGGCAAGGGAGGGTGGGGACTGAGAATGAGGACTTTGGAACCAAATGAGTTAGAATCCCTGCCTGGCCACCCAGTAGCTCTGTGAACTTAGCTTGTTATTCTCCTTTCTCTGCCTCAGTTTTCTTACCTTTAAAATGGAGATTATAATAACACTTACTTTGCTGGGTTGTTATAAGGTTTATGTGAGTCCATCTGTGAAGTTTTTGAAAGAGAATCTGAGACATAGTAAGTACTTCACATGTTAACCATTATTTTTTTTTTTAGCCTTGACTCTACCGAGAACAATTACTTATGGGAAAACTATCAGATTGTCTATCATACCAGAAACTACAAGACTTTATGTTGAAAACAAAACAATAAAATGGTTGTAATCACTTTCTAGCTATGATGGAGGGCAAGCTCTTTGAGCCTCTGTTTTTTATCTGTGAATGGGAGTAGTAATACCAACAATGACATGTTGTTAGCTTAGAGATAGTGCATGTACTCTGCAGAATCAGTGTTCAGTAAGCATTTGTCATTGCAACCACTTTGGTTCCCGTTTGCCTCCTCATAGAACCTAAAGCAGTAGAAGAAGAAGAAAGTAATTTCAGCTCTCCGCTGATGCTTTGGCTCCAGCAAGAACAAAAGCGGAAGGAAAGCATAGCTGAGAAAAAGCCCAAGAAAGGACTAGTTTTTGAAATTTCAAGTGATGATGGCTTTCAAATCTGTGCAGAAAGTATTGAAGGTGAGTAGTTAAATTAGGTAGACCCAGCAACAGAGGCCCTGTTTCAGCTATCTCTGTTCTTATATATTATGTCATTGAGGTGTGACAGATTGTGCCAGATTTTATGAAGGATATTAAGAAGCATTATATATTTTCTGTGTCCTTTAGAAATTTGTCTTAGAGAAATATCCATAATTCATGTGAGAAGTTAATGATACAGAGTACGTATCATTACCACTTGCTCATTTTAAATTTTATATGTTCCTCTCTCTTAGCTTAAGCCTTACTTTGTAAAAGTTTTCATTTTTTATGACTTAATTAACATAAAGGATTTTACTTTCTTATTCATATTGGTATCCCTGGTATGTAGGTGAAAAAGTAGGGAATGTTCTCTAGGTTATAAGTACTAGAGAATCTCAAAGGAAAGAAAGATCACTCTGAGTAACTTAGGGTTATCCAAGAACCCATGGAGATTAATAGGAGATTGAGTTTAAGAAGATAATAGAAATTGGGTTAGGCAAACAGGAATGGGGAGGAGGGCTTTTGAAGAAGGATGTAAACAAAGATAGATGTAATCACACATGATAGGTTTAGAGTGGTGTCAGATGAGAAGTTGACATTGAAATTCATGTCAGGTAATAGTGAAAGAAAAATTGAGAAGGTGAATTTGTCACAAGTTTTGGAGGACCTGCACTTCCAAGCCCTGAGACCTCTGCAGTTCTGGGGGAGTAAAATAAAGGCAGAGTTTCAAAAGTTTAATGTGTAGCTCCATACAAGATAGATTGAACTGGAGACATTGGGAGGCAAGAAGTCATTCATGAGAGTATTACTAATAGAAATGCCAAGTAATAAAACCCATGTAGGAAAAGAAAGAATGGACGCATTTTGTGACTGCTTAGATAATAAGGAGAGGACAAAGCCAAAGATGACTTTTCTAAGCTGGGCTCATTGGCACTCACCTGTAATCCCAGTGGCTCCGGAGGCTGAGGCAGGAAGAATCACAAGTTCAAAGCCAGGTTCAGTAAAAGCGAAGCACTAGCAACTCAGTGAGACCCTGTCTCTAAATAAAGTACAAAACAGGGCTGGGGATGTGGCTCAGTGGTTAAGTGCCCCTGAGTTCAATCCCTGGTACCCCTTACCTCCCCCAAAAGATGTCTCTTCTGAGCAGGTGTGATGGAACATGCCTGTAATCCCAGTGATTTGGGAGACTGAGGCAGGAGAATCACAAATTAAAGGCCAGCTTCAGCAACTTAGCAAGACCCTGTCTCAAAATTCTAAAAAATAAATAAAAAGGAATGGGAAATGTGCTCAGTGGTAAAGTACCCTTGGGTTTAATCCCCAGTACAAATAATAATAATGTAAGGAGGAAAAAAAAAAAAAGCTAGTTTGAAAGTATGAGAAAGTGTGAGCTCTTCTTTTTTGGGGGTGTATGGGGGATTGAACTACTCCCCATTCTTATTTGCCTAACCTAATTTCTATTACTTAAACTCAATATCCTATTAATCTCAATGGGTTTTTGGATAACCCTAAGTTACTCAACAGTGATCTTTTCTTTGAAATTCTCTAGTACTTTTAATGTAGAGGGGCCTTAACCACTGAGACACATCCCCAGCCCTTTTTTTTTTTTTTAAGAGAGAGAGAGAGAGAGAAATTTTTAATATTTATTTTTCAGTTTTTGGTGGACGCAACATCTTTATTTTATTTTTATGTGGTGCTGAGGATCGAACCCAGCGCCCTGCGCATGCCAGGCAAGCGCGTTACCCCTTGAGCCACATCCCCAGCTCCCTAGCCCTTTTTTTAATGTTAGTTTTAGAGCAAGCGTCTCACTGAGTTGCTTAGGGCCTCACTAAATTACTGAGCCTGGCTTTAATCTCTCAATTCTCCTGCCTCATCCTCCCAACTGCTGGGATTACAGCATGTGCCATCATGCCCAGCCAAAAGTATGAGTTCTACATGAGAAATAATTGTAGAATGGCAGGTCTATAGAAGTACAGTGCTGGGGTTGTAGCTCAGTGGTAGAGCACTTGCCTAGCTAAAAGATTATAGAATCTTAGGTTAGAAATTGAAGGAATTAACAAACAAATAAATAAATAAAAAGAAATCAAAGTAATTGTAAAGGTTTTCTAGTCCCAGACCTTAATTTTAAGGAACTAAGGTTATGAACTACCCACATTCCTGGTTGCATCTTTTCACTATTTGGGTTAGGGTCACAGAATACAATTAATTTCAAATGCTTAGGTGTAGCACCCAATCTTCCACCAGAGAATGTGAATGCTTTAGGGACTCAGGGCAGAAATCTCCTGACTGCTTCTGTGACCTAAGAAGGGAACACAACTGGCTATTGTAACTTCTCAGCTACTTCCCCATGCACCCAATTGATTAAAACCATAAGAAAACAACAAAACACTGTCTGAACAGGTTATGTGCTCCAACTGTAGGGATTCTAAGTATAATGCCTGTGCATACTGTTAGTATTAAGAGATGTTGGCATGAATATCTTGTAGCCTACAGTTTTCTTTTAATTTCTTTTAGATGCCTGGAAATCACTGACAGATAAAGTCCAGGAAGCTCGATCAAATGCCCGCCTGAAGCAGCTCTCATTTGCAGGTAATGACTAGAGCAATTATTTTACTCCTCCCTCAGAATATTCTGTCAATTTATTAGTCTCAGCCATAGAATTGATTCTATTTAAAAAAAAAAAAAAACAAACTTTTTTTAAAAAAGTATTTTTCACAGCTTTGAGATATAATTCACATATCATCCATTTAAAGCGTATAATTTGGTGGTTTTTATGTATTCACAGAATTGCACAACCATCATTGCCTTATAACTCCAGAATATTTTCATAGTCACTGAAAGGAACCCCTCCTGCTCATTATTAGTCAATTCCCCATCTCTTTCCCCTGACACCATGTTCTAGACCTTTTCATATAAATGGAAATCATATATTTGTGACTGGCTTTTCACTTCACAATGCTTTCAAGGCTCCTTCTTGAGCTGGGAGTATAACTCAATGTAGAGCATGGGATTAGCATTTGTGAAGGCCTGGGTTTGACCCCTATCACCAAAAAAAAAAAAAAAAAAAGCTGAGAGAGAGAGAGAGATTGATTGATTCCTGCCTGCTGTAACATTGCATTCATATTCCACTCCTCTTTCTTTCTCTCTTTCTCTCTTTCTCTCTCTCTCTTTCTTTCTTTCTTTCTTTTCTGTGTGGTGCTGGGGATTGAACCCAGGGCCTTGTGCCTGTAAGACAAACACTCTACCAATTGATCTATATCCTCAGCCCATTTCAGCACCACCTTTTTAAAAATTTTTTCTTTTAATTAATTAATTTATTTATTTATTATGCATGACAGCAGAATGTATTTCTGTTTTTTTGTTTTTTTTTTTTAGTTGTAGTTGGACACAATACCTTTATTTTATTTATTTTTATGTGGTGCTAAGGATTGAACCCAGGGCCTCACATGTGCTAGATGAGTGCTCGGCTGCTGAGCCACAACTCCAGCCTGAATGCATTTCAAGCATAGTACACATATGGAACACAATTTTTCATTACTCTGGTTGTAGTCCACTCCTTTTTATTACCAAATAATATTCCATTGTGTGAATATACTTTGCTTATCCATTCATCAGTTGATGGATATTTGGGGTTGTTTGTTGTTTTACTTTCTTATTCTTGCTAATGATTATTGACATACAAGTTTTTGTACAAATCTGTTTTTATTTCTCTTGGGTCTGTACCTAGAAATGGCATTGCTGGTTCATATGATAACTCTCCTTAACTTTTTAAAGGACTACAGAATTCTTTTTTCCCAAAGTGGCTACACCATTTCATGTTCCCAGCAGTATACAAAGGTTCCAGTTTCTCCATATCCTTATCAAAACTTGATATTGCCTGTTTTTTTTATATTTTAGATATTCTAGTTAATTTAAAATAGTACCTCATGATGTGTGTGTGTTTGTGTGTGTATGTGTGTGGCAGGGGTGCTAGAGCTTCAAGCATGCTAGACAAGTTTTCTACCAGTAAACTACATCCCCAACTCCTCATTGTGGATTTTTTTTTTTTTTTTTGGAACAGGCACTCGACCACTGAGCCATATCCCCAGTCTTATTTTTTATTCTATTTAGAGACAGGGTCTCACTGAGTTGCTTAGCACCGTCGTCTTTGCTGGGGCTGGCTTTGAACTCGGGATCCTCCTGCCTCTGCCTCCCCAGCCGATGGGATTACAGGCGTGCACCACCTCGCTTAGCCCTACCTTCTCCGTTCTTATCTATACTATTTCCAATTTCTGAATCTTTGTTAATCAAGATGGAATCATATTTTAATATGCATTTAAAAATTAAGTAATGGGGCTGGGGGTGTGGCTCAAGCGGTAGCGCGCTCGCCTGGCATGCGTGCGGCCCGGGTTCGATCCTCAGCACCACATACAAACAAAGATGTTGTGTCCGCCGAGAATTAAAATAAATAAATAAATATTTTAAAAAAAAAATTAAGTAAGATTATCTTCTCATGTTATTGGCCATTTGTATTTTGTGGGAGATAAGTCACCTATTAGATTCTTTTTTCTTTTTTTTGGTACTGAGGAGTGAATCTAAGAGCACTTTACCACTGACTTATATCCCCTTTTTATTATTATTATTATTTTTAAAAAATTTTGAGACAGAGTTTCACTACCTTGCTGAGGCTAACCTCAGACTTGTAATCCTTCTGTCTCAACCTCCCGAGTTGCTGGAAATACGTGTATGTGTCACTGCCCCTGGTCTTTGACTTTTTTTTTTTTTAACTAAAAAAATCCTAAAGACTGAAGATTAGTTCAGTGGTAGAGCATTTGCCTAGTATGTGCAAAGCAATACTGGATTTGATCCCTGGCACTGCAAAAGGAAAGGAAAAAAAAACACACACACACAAAGATTAAAACAAGAAAATACACAGGCTGTGTAATAGTACCTGCCATCTAAAATTAACAAATATTAATATTTTGAAATATGTATTTGAAATACTTATCCTCTCTTCCTTGTTAAAAGAAAAAAACTAAAGTATCATAGGTAAATACTTCTTTTTTTAAAGATTTTTTTGTGTGTGATACTGGGATTGAACCCAGAAGTATTCTACCACAAAGCTACACCTCCAGTCCATTTTTATTCTGAGATAGGATCTTACTAAGTTGTCAAGGCTAGCCTTGGATTTGAATTCCTCATTGCCTCAGCCTCTGGAGTAGTTGGGATCATAGGTGTGTGCTACCATACCCAGCAAAAAAAATTCTTTTAAATACCTTTCACCTACCTTCCCAGGACCAATTTGAAAGAAGATAGGAGGGGTAGAGATGAATATTGGAAAAAATTTTAAAAAGTCAATGGATGGTTTCTGTGTTAGATTAATTAAAATCCTTCATGTTCACTTCAAACAAAAGTACTAAAAAAAATTTTAGGTTACATCATTTGAAGCCTAGTATCAATGAGAAACTATTTCAACTTTAAAAAGGAGGTAAAATAAAACCACAATGAGCCAAACTGGAAGCAACTCAAATACTCCTCAATACGGGAATTTAGAAAAAATTCTAAAGTAATCTGATTAAAAAGGCATGTTGATAACAGTGTGTATCTCATATGATCATAGTCTTTTAAATCTGATACAGGGGGCTGGGGATGTGGCTCAAGTGGTGGCGCACTTGCCTGGCATGCGTGCGGCCCGGGTTCGATCCTCAGCACCACATACAAAGATGTTGTGTCCGCCAATAACTAAAAAATAAATCTTAAGATTCTCTCTCTCTCTCTCTCTCTCTCTCTTAAAAAGAAAAAAAGAGGAATCTGAGCTTTTAAAAAAAAATCTGATACAGACTTTTAAATTATATATGTAATAGTGGTTGCCTCTGAGAAGTGGGACCTGGAGAATTAGAATAGGCAACTCTACTTCTTTGTACTGTTTCACTTTATTTCCATGATTATTTTTTATAAATATATTTTTTAGTTGTATATGGACAGAGTACCTTTATTTTTATTTTTATGTGGTGCTGAGGATCAAACCCAGTGCCTCAAATGTCCTATGCAGGTGCTCTACAACTGAGCTACAACCACAGCCCTCCAATATTATTTTGTGTGTGTGTGTGTGTGTGTGTGTGTGTGTGTGTTGAACCCAGGGCCTTGTGCATGCAAGGCAAGCACTCTACCAACTGAGCTAAATCCTCAGCCCTTACTTATAAATTTTTTAAAAATTAGCTCAATTACATTTAATTTTTTAAAAGAACAGATGGCAAATGAGTTAAGAAAAAGTTAGGATTTTCCTGGGTGCCCGGCTTCTTCTTCTCACTCTGCATATTCCCTGGGCTTGTTCAGCAGTTCCCATGTTCTCACATTGTACCTGTGATTCAATCCTTCTACTGTTCCACCATTCCCCAGAGCTCAGCTCAGACAACTCCATTCAATTCTGACATCCTTATTTTCTTCATCATTCCCATCTGTTTTTTCTTCCCCAATATTTTCTCACCTGTAATGTTAAGATACCTTATAACTAGTGCCTCAGACTCCCTTTTCTCCTTCTGTATAGTATTTGTTGTCATCAGAGGAATCTCAAAATCCTCTTACTGTTTACAAACATACTGGTTGTAGAACAAAATCTTCATATCTCTCTCTCTCTCTCTCTCTCTCTCTCTCTATTTATTTATTTTTAGTTGTTGATGGACCTTTATTTTATTCATTTGTTTATATGTGGTGCTAAGAATCGAGCCCAGTGCCTTACACATTTGAAGCAAGTGCTCTACCACCGAGCCACAACCCCAGCCCCAAAATCTTCATCTCTTTAAGTATTTGTTTTTAATAAATAGGTATTGAACATCTGTGATGTGCCCAGCACCATGGTGAGCACTAAGGATATAATCCTGTGTAGAAGTAGATTGGCCCTGCTCTCCTGAGGTTTCCAGTTTGAATCCTCACATGATAAGATCCTGCTCAGCCTGCACCATCTGTTCGGCCTAAGCTCTCACCACTTTCCTCACCATTCAGGGTCCTCTGTTCAGATCCATCAGTGTGTCTTAATGTGTGGTCTGAAAATGTGGATCAGAATCTCAGGGCTTAGGGCTGAGAAAGCTGAATTTTTAACCTGTGTACCCTAATAATTATTACTATGTACATTACATGTTTTCACATTAGCATACCATGGTTCATGCAGTTCCCCCACCAGGAATGGCCTGCTCTCCTTCATCTCTTGTCTTCCCCAATTTCCCTTTTGTGCTTGACAAACTCCTATTAATCCTTCAAGTTTCTGCTCAGAGTCACCTCTTTGTCCTTTTTTGACCATTATGTTCTGTACATATGGAAACTCCAACTCTTAAGTGATTTAAACAGTAAGATAATTTATCATCTTGCATTACAAAAAGTCCAAAGCATCAGGATCAATTGATACAATAGTTTGAGTAGTGAGTGCATGTAAAAGATTACAACATAATTGTAGACTTCATAAAATCTGTAACTTAGTCTATACTAAATTTATTTATTTGTTTATTTATTTATTAAAACCTTTTTTTTTTTTAAGAGAGAGAATGAGAGAGAAAATTTTTTAATATTTATTTTTTAGTTTTCGACGGACACAACATCTTTGTGTGTATGTGGTGCTGAGGATCGAACCTGGGCCGCACGCATGCCAGGCGAGCGTGCTACCGCTTGAGCCACATCCCCAGCCCTAAATTTATTTTTAATTATTTTTTCTTGAGCAGGGGGTGAAGCTTGATTACACTTATAGAATACATTATACTTAACATGTGTGAGGCCTTGAGTTCAATCCCCAACATTAAAAAATGGAGATAAAAAGTATTTATCTTCTATAATAAATAACCTTATCTTTTAACTGTAATTTTTTTTCTTGTCATCTCCCCCATATTGCTGTAACTTTTTTTACTTTAACTTTTAGAGCTTAATACATGTTATACAGCTGTATTAAAAATATTTTTCTCCATATTCTTATTCTTTAATTTTTTTCTATTTTAAAATTTTAAAAGGTTTTGTGTTAAAAAAACTATATATAGGGTGGGGTTGTGGCTCAGGGGTGGAGCACTCGGCTAGCATGTGCGAGGCCCTGGGTTCAATCCTCAGTACCACATAGAAATAAATAAAATAAAAGTATTGTGTCCAACTACAACTGAAAATTAAATATTTAAAAAAAAAAAAAAAGACTAGGGCCTGGGGATATAGCTTAGTTGGTAGAGTGCTTGCCTCGGATACACAAGGCCCTAGGTTCAATCCCCAGCACCACCAAAAAAAAAAAAAAAAACTATATAAACACACACATCACCACAGGCTGTTTTCCACCTTCATATCTTGTCCTACTGGAAGTACTTAAGGGCAGTAACACATGAAGCTATCCTTTTTTTTTTTTTGTGAGAGCAATACCTTCTGGAATGCCTTCTGAGGGGCCTACCTGAGGCTGTTTTAAAATTAACTTTTTTTTTTTTCTTTATAAGTAGGAATCCAGTCCAAAATAACACTAAAAATTATAGGAGAGTAAATGCATAGACCAGTAATCGTCATTTATTATCATTATCAAGTATTCTGTACTGTACATAATTGTATATGCTATACTTTTATGTGACAAGCAGTGCAGTAGGTTTGTGGAGATTTGCATCACCACAGACATGGAACATGGCACTATGATGGTTGTTATGTTAGCTGCTTTGTCATTGGAGGGTAGGAATATTTCAGCTCCAATGTAATGTCAGGAGACCACCATCATATTTGGCATCAAATGTGTTGTTTTGGGGGCTGGGGTGCAGTGGCAGAGCGCTTGCCTAGCTTGTGTGAGGCTTTGGGTTTGATCGTCAGCACCACATAAAAATAAACAAATAAAATAAAGGCATTCTGTCCATGTACAACTACAAAAAAAAAAATTTGTTGTTGACTGAAGCATTGTGTGGTATTTGACTACTGATTGTTCCCTCTAAGAGCTCCCACAATACTTTCTACTAAAGCTTTACATTTTTCACCTTGTGTGGTTTGTGCACATATCTAAAACTGAGCAAAAAACAAAGAAGCTATTAAGTGTGTTACTCCCTGCATTCACTATACATCACAGAAAAGTTCTGTGCTGTTAGGGATGTGGCTAATGTTCCTTTCAAAAATTATTGAGATACCTGTGTACATATCAGCTTACATGTGTACTCCATTGCTTATAAATAAAAATGGAATTGTATTTGGAGTTATACAAAATCTTGACACACTAGCTCTTTGATCTTGGGTGTATTAAATTCTGAGACTAGGTCTACTCCCCTTAAAATGAAGTTAGTATTGAGCTGAGGGTATAGCTCAATGGTAGAGTACTTGCCTGTTATGCACAATGCCCTGGGTTCAATCCCTAGTATCACAAAATAGCAGCAGCAGCAGCTAGGAACTCCTGCCTTGGGTGGCTATTATGAGCATGAAACAGTATAATGCATGTCTCATTTCTGTGTATAGAGCATATAGAAAACAGTTCAGTTTGGTGGCATACTTTTTCCCTTAGCCATCTATCATGAACGTTTTCAGTATTGATAGATCTGTACCAGCATTATTTTAACAGCTATCTAATGCTGATTTCTTGAGCATACTCTGGCAGAGTTTCTCTCTACACAGGCATTTCATTAAAGTTCTGTGCAGTTTCCTGTTGGCTGCATGCCTCACCATCTAGGTGCCTTTTGTTCTACAGGTGTTAACGGTTTGAGGATGCTGGGGATTCTCCACGATGCAGTTGTATTCCTGATTGAGCAGCTATCTGGTGCCAAGCACTGTCGGAATTATAAATTCCGTTTCCACAAACCTGAGGAGGCCAATGAACCCCCCTTAAACCCTCATGGCTCAGCCAGGGCTGAAGTCCACCTGAGGCAAGTTTCTTTTTTTGTGGAAACAGTTTGGAGTTTTCTAATGATACAGTTATTTCCCCATGCACTCTGAGATTTCCAGTGATGATACCACTGTCTTACATACTACTTTATTAAAGCATTTCTCTAAATATGTTTTGATCTTTTGACTCCAGGAAGTCAGCATTTGACATGTTTAACTTCCTGGCTTCTAAACATCGACAGCCACCTGAATACAACCCAAACGATGAGGAAGAGGAAGAGGTACAGCTAAAGTCAGCTCGGTAAGTCTTACATGGAGAGGGTACCCTTCTTTCCTTTTACCTAAGTGTTTCAGGGCACTGTGTAGTTTTTCATGAATCACAGTTTCCTGGCTACATTGAAGAAGACTGAAGCAGTAATAGTAACAAGCTAGTAAAGAGAGGAATATAAGTTAGAAGAAACTTAATAATTATAAGGTGCATATTTTCTTTCTTTTTTTATTTTTAAAAATATTTATTTTTTAGTTGGACACAATTTCTTTATTTTTATTTATTTATTTTTATGTGGTGCTGAGGATCAAACCCAGGGCCTGCCTTGCACATGCTAGGCGAGTGCTCTACTGCTGAGCCACAATCCCAGCCCTCTTTTTTTTTTTTTTAAGAAGCATATTTACTTTATAGTCTGTGCTATCAGTTTTAGATGTCTCACCATAGTCATCATGGTCAGAAAATACTGTTGTGTATATTAAAAATGGGCCTCAGCCAGGCATGTAATCCTAGTGTCTCAGGAGGCTGAGGCAGGAAGATTGCAAGTTCCAGGCCAGCCTCAGCAATTTGGTGAGACCCTGTCTCAAAACAAGAAATAGAAAGGGTTGGGGATGTGACTCAGTGGTAAAGCACCCCTGGGTTTGATCCCTAGTACTAAAAGGGGAGGAGTGCATTTTATTAGGCGTTTATTATGCTTGGCATTGATCAACCAGTATATTCATATTCTCTAGAATACTTTGATTCAAGACAGAAAACATTTCCTGAAGAGAATTCATTAGTAATATGCCTTGTCTTTTAGGAGGGCAACTAGCATGGACCTGCCAATGCCTATGCGTTTCCGGCACTTAAAAAAGACATCTAAGGAAGCAGTTGGTGTCTACAGGTATGGCTAAAATCCTAGAAATAATTACAGAAAACTAATAAAAGTTTTCTAAAATAAAGAGGATCAAATGCTGGACTTACCTTCTTCATTCAGCAAGGTTTTTATAGATATTTTTAACTAAACCTGATATCCTGGGACCTGGCACTCCTTGTGTTGAACAAGGAACTTGACATAATTAGACTGCTACTACTTCTAGTGGGATACAGAATGGAGAAATTTTTAATCTTTGCCCATCCATTGGCATAGCTAATACATAAATCAGGTGGGATCCAAATCTTTTTTTTCTCTCTCTCTCTTTCTCTCTCTCTCAAGTGTCTGTCTTTCCTGCAGAACTAATAGGTCTAGAGTTCCCAATTGTTTGTTCATTCACTTAACCTTACTTGAAGCTCTGTGCCTGCTCTTTGTTCCACCTTCTGTCCTAGGTCTCCCATCCATGGCCGGGGGCTTTTCTGCAAGAGAAACATAGATGCTGGAGAGATGGTCATTGAGTATGCTGGCAACGTCATCCGCTCCATCCAGACTGACAAGCGGGAGAAGTATTATGATAGCAAGGTGAGGCTTCCAGAGTACTCTCTTAGTTCTTTCTTTTATTGTAGGAAGTCACTATCAACTGTCCCATAAGGAATTCTGTATTCTATCAGTTCAAAAACTTTTTTAAAAAGCATTTTAAATCTCTGAAACTTATAATGGGCCCTATAAAAGTTCAGAATCCACTTTAAGGATTAGTACACAGAGATTCTCTCTGAAGATTTGTCTGAGTGTATCCCAGGATTAAAAGCACATAGGTAGGGTGACACAGTGCATACCCCTGTAATCTCAGCAAATTAGGAAGCTGAGCAGGAGGAGTGCAAGTTTGAGGGCAGCTAGGGCAATTTAACAAGACCTTCCCAAAATAAAAAGTCCCAGGGATGTAGCTCAGTGGTAGAGTAACCCCTGGGTTCAATCTCCCATACTGGGGGTGGGAGAGTACATAGCTACATAAGTTTAGGTTTATCTTTCCTGTGAAGACATTAAGAAACCTCTAGTCTAGTACCTGTAGTCTGGGAACCCCTCCTGGAAGTATTGAAGGGTATGAACAGAGAGAAATCTGGATAAGTTAGTAAAAAACCTGCTCATCAGTGGCTGTGGCTGAGGCAGGAGGATTGCAAGTTCCAGGCCAGCATCAGCAACTTAGACTGTGTCTCAAAATAAAATTAAAAGGTGGGGGTGGGGGGGTGGGGAATGGAATGTTGCTCAGTAATAGAGCACCCCTGGGTTCAATTCACAATACTGCAAAAATTAAGAAAAGGACGGGGAATGTAGCTCAGTAGGAAGAGTGCTTACCTAACATATGCAAAATTTTGAGTTCAATCCTAGCACCAAAAATAAATAAATAACAAATTCTTCTTTCTCCTGTGTGTATAGGGCATTGGTTGCTACATGTTCCGAATTGATGACTCAGAGGTGGTAGATGCCACCATGCATGGAAATGCTGCACGCTTCATCAACCACTCATGTGAGCCTAACTGCTACTCTCGGGTCATCAACATTGATGGGCAGAAGCACATTGTCATCTTTGCCATGCGTAAAATCTACCGTGGAGAGGAACTCACTTATGACTATAAGTTCCCCATTGAGGATGCGAGCAACAAGCTGCCCTGCAACTGTGGCGCCAAGAAGTGCCGGAAGTTCCTAAATTAAAGCTGCTCTCCTCCCCCTGTGCTGGAGTCCTAGGACCCAGGGCCATCCAAAGCAATGCTAAGGCCTTTTCCAGCATCTAGGAGCTCCAGGATTGAGCGGGCACAATTGAGGGGCCTCCGTGATGGCTTCACACCCTTATGTCCCATATTCACATCATTATGTGATCGTAGTCCTGGGGAAGAGAGGAGGTCTTGAAGATCCTTGATTGGCTTTTTCCTAGGGCCCCCCGTTTGCTATTAAAAGTGGGAAACAGGTTCCCTAGGAGATTTGTCTGGAAGGAGCCTATAGAGGGTTAGTTATATGGTAGATGAGGCCTGAGCATCTCAGAGAACAAGTTGTCATCCTTGTCTTGGCCCTTTCCCAAGCACTATAAGTGAGGGGTCAGGCAAGACCCCAGATGCAGGGCTGGTTGGATACCTAATAGTTTGCTCATCAGGCCCCAAGTGTGGCCGTCTGTTGAACAAATAGAGAAGGTCTGGTGATTTTTCCCTACTATCTTCCCACTTAAGAGTTCACTTCCAGTTGGGAGACAAGATTCCTAGCACCTCTGGTGTCAAAAGGCTGTCTTGGGGTTGTGCCAATTAATTACCAAACATTGAGCCTGTGGGCTTTGAGTGGGAGTGTTACCCCAGTGAGCCTTATCTCAGCCAATTACCTTTCTTGACAGTAGGAGCGGCTTCCCTCTTCCATTCCTTCTCTTCACTCTACTTTCTTCCCTTTCCCTGTCCTTCATCCCACTGCTTTCCATTTCTTTCTGGGTGGTAGGGGAGATTGACTCCCTGCTCAAGGACACTCCCTGTTGGGCGTAGGATGTGCCTACAAAAAGTTCCCTGAGCCTGTAAGCACTCCAGGTGGGGAAGTGGACAGGAGCCATTGGCCATAACCAGACAGAATTTGGAGAAGTTTTCATAAAGCTCCTCTGAGAGTTTTAAAGAAATATATGTAGCATGATTTTTTAGAAGAGGATAAAGGTTATTTAAATAGGATTTGATCATGCAACAACCAGAGTGTCACAACCAGGACAACCCCTGGGCCCCATTCCTAGGGCATGGTTACTTTGTTTTCCCCTTGTTAAGACATAGGAAGACTTAATTTCTAAATGGTCAGTGACCAGTTGACGGCAGAACACTAATCAGATTTCCAGGCCCAAAACTTGGGGACTAGACCACCTTGTGTTGAGGGACCTCTGCCACCTGTGCGCAATCCATGGATGAAGTAAATTAAATGACACTACTGCCCTGATTACTCCTTAGGATGTCGTCAAAATAGCATCAAATGTTTCTCCTCTTCCTTCCCCCAAGACAGTCCTGAACCTGTTAAATTAAGTCATTGGATTTTACTCTGTTCTGTTTACAGTTTACTATTTAAGGTTTTATAAATGTAAATATATTTTGTATATTTTTCTATGAGAAGCACTTCATAGGGAGAAGCACTTATGACAAGGCTATTTTTTAAACCGCGGTATTATCCTAATTTAAAAGAAGATCGGTTTTTAATAATTTTTTATTTTCATAGGATGAAGTTAGAGAAAATATTCAGCTGTACACAAAGTCTGGTTTTTTTCCTGCCCAACTTCCCCCTGGAAGGTGTACTTTTTGTTGTTTCATGTGTAGCTTGTTTGTGCCCTGTTGACGTAATGTTTCCTGGGTCTGCTCTTTGACATAATGGAGAAGGAAGGTCACCCAGCTCCATTAAGCCACTCCCCTCCTTCCACACTGAAGCTCCTCAAAAGGCTACTGTAGTATGTTAACACACCAGTTTCTTCTCTTCTTTCCCACACTGTCCCTCTGTCTCTGGCACTGACCCCAGAGTAGTGAAAGGCAGTGCTCTTTTGCGTTGTCCCTCATCTTTACTACTTCAGAGTTAGCAACTAACAAGTTGAATGCACCTTGACATTCTTCATCACCATCTGCCTCATAGATCACCTCCTTTCCTTTCCCTCTGCCCACCAAGTCCTCATATCTGCAAAGAACCCATTGATTCCCTTGTGCCCTCTTTTGGGGCAGCCCGTTGAAACTGAAGCACAGTCTGACCACTCACGATAAAGCAGATTTTTCTCTGCCCCTGCCACAAGGTTTCAGAGTAGTGCAGTCCAAGTAGAGGCTGGGGCACCCTTTTCTTGCCACAAGAAGCCCATTCCTCTGTTAAGTCTAGCAAAGCAATACGACTCAGCCCAGCACTCTCTGCCCCAGGACTCATGGCTCTGCTGTGCCTTCCATCCTGGGCTCCCTTTCCTTCTGTGACCTTAAGAACTTTGTCTGGTGGCTTTGCTGGAACATTGTCACTATTTCCACTGTCATGCAGGGGAGCCCAGCACTGTGGCCAGGATGGCAGAATTTCTTGTCATCGTGGAGAAGTGCCAGCAGGGGACTGGGGAAAAGCACTCTACCCAGACCTCACCTCCCTTCCTCCTTTTGCCCATGAACAAGATGCAGTGGCCCAAGGGGTTCCACTAGTGTCTGGTTTCCTTTATTATTGCACTGTGTGAGGTTTTTTTGTAAATCCTTGTATTCCTATTTTTGTTTTTAAGAAAAAAAAAAAAAAACCTTAAGCTGCATTTGTTACTGAAATGAATAATGCACTGATGGGTCATGAATTCATCTTGAGAAAGACCCAAAGGCCAGTCTGAGGGTGGGGGAAACTCAGCTAAATAGACCTAGTTACTGCCCTGCTAGGCCATGCTGTACTGTGAGCCCCCTCCTCCTCCTCTTTCTATAATCCCAAACCCTGAGGTCAGGGGAGGAACCTACACCTTTCCTTCTCCTGCCAGCTGCAGATGGTTTGCCTTGCCTTTCCACCCCCAACCGTCAACCACAGAAATGAGAAATCCCTCTTAACAGCTCAGCCTTGAGTCCATTGCCAAAATGTCAGCATACCTGCCAGCAACTTGGAGGATAAGCTAAGGTTTCCCTGTGGGAGGGAATGAGGCAAAACAGCATTTCTATCTCCAAAACATGTCATGAGTTTGTTTAGAAAGTGACCAAGGGAATTTCTGCACAGAAATGCAGATTGAGGAATTGTGGTGGGTCATTCCCAAGAATCCCCCAAGGGGCACCTCAGATCCCTAAGGAATAACAGCTGCAAACCTGGTCAGTTCTCAGTGAGAGCCAGCTCACTCAACGCTTTGCTGCTAGAACCTGTTGTGGCTGCATTTCCTGGTGGCCAGTAACAACTGTGTAACCAGAATAGCTGCATGGCACTGACCCTTTGGCCGGAACCTGGTCCCTTGGCTCCCTCTGTTGGTACCCACCATGTCCAACACAACCCCTCTTCCTGTTTTTAGACCAGTAACAAGAATTAAGGGGAAGCCCTGGCACTATAAGTTTTCATCCAGACTCCTTTTGCCAGGACCCAGCCCACCACCCTGTTTCCTCTGTCAACGTCCCCCCCCCCCCCCCGCCAATGCAGTGAGCGCCATGCAGCCATCTTGAGTTTAAAAAAAAAAAGAAAAAAGAAAAAAAAATACAACAACACACACACATACACACACACACTTTTAATGAATGTATCTTTCTAAAGGACTGACTTGTTCAATCAAATATCTGAAAATACTAAAGGTGAAAACCTTGTCAGATGTTAACTTTTAAGTTTGATTTGGGATTCTTTTTCATATAAACTAAGTTGCTTTTGTTTTTAAGGAAAAGCGGGTCATTGCAAAGGGCTGGGTGTAATTTTGTTTCATTTCCTTCATTTTAAAGCAATACAAGGTTATTGAGCAGATGGTTTTGTGCCGAATCATGAATACCAGTCAAGTCTCACACTCTGAAAAACTTGCAACCTTTTTGTTTGTTTGGTTTTCAAATAAATATAAATATGATATATATAGGAACTAATATAGTAATGCACCATGTAACAAAGCCTAGTTCAGTCCATGGCTTTTAATTCTCTTAACACTATAGATAAGGATTGTGTTGCAGTTGCTGGTAGTGGCAGGAAAACATCAGGCCAGCGTTCCTCTGATTCTCTAATGGGGAACCCCAAACCACAAAGGGACGATAAAACAGGCCATTCCTAGGATCAGAGCGATGCAGAAATGGTGTCACCTGGATTTTCCTGCCCATGAACGTTGCCAGTCAGCACCTGTGCTCCTTGTTTCTCTATTTTTGGTTATGAATGTTGGGGTTACCACCTGCATTTAGGGGAAAATTGTGTTCTGTGCTTTCCTGGTATCTTGTTCCGAGGTACTCTAGTTCTGTCTTTCAACCAAGAAAATAGACTTGTGGTGTTTCTTTTATTGAACTTTTAACAGTCTCTTTAGTAAATACAGGTAGTTGAATAATTGTTTCAAGAGCTCAACAGATGACAAGCTTCTTTTCTAGAAATGAGACATTTCTTGACAACTTTATCATGTATAACAGATCTTTTGTTTCGTTTTTTTTTTTTTTCCTTGTGTTCTTCCAAGCTTCTGGTTAGAGAAAAATAGAAAAAAAAAAAAAAAGGAAAATGTGTCTAAAGTCCATCAGTGTTAACTCCCTGTGACAGGGACGAAGGAAAATACTTTAATAGTTCAAAAAATAATAATGCTGAAAGCTCTCTACGAAAGACTGAATGTAAAAGTAAAAAAGTGTACATAGTTGTAAAAAAAAAAGGAGTTTTTAAACATGTTTATTTTCTATGCACTTTTTTTTATTTAAGTGATAGTTTAATTAATAAACATGTCAAGTTTATTGCTGCACATAGTTGAACTTCCTTTTGGCCTTGATGGGTGGAGAAAGGGGGAGAGGTGTGGACTGTGACCTGATCACAGAGTACCTTCCACAGGGCTATGTTTTAAGATGGAATCACTGAATCGTTCCTTAAGATGGAATCACTGAATCGTTCCCCATAGCCACCTTCAGGTCCCACACACACTGGTTCTCTAACTGCAGGATTTTATTCCCTTAGCAATGATGTGTGTTCAGGACCCAATTTAACATTCTGAATATGAGCAAGGAGTCAAGAGGACAAGGGAATAGTTCTTTACTTTCTACATATCCCCCCTCTTTTATCCAGGGGAGGTCAAACAAGACTTCTAAGATAACTGTGAATATAATAAAATAAAAACATTTCAGCACTTTCTCTTTGCTCCACTCCACCTTAAGGCTGGAACTAGATTTGTTTATTCTGTGTTGGGGGCTAGGTTCAGTTGAGAAATAATTATACAAATTCTGCCATGCCAGGGGTTGTTAACCCCAGGCCAAGGGGGGTGAGCTGACACATCAAAGCTAAGGAATGAGAGACATTCCTCATGGGGGTGGTCCCCAGGCAGAGCTTCCCCTTTTATATAAACTGCCTGCAGAGGCTCAGCCCTCATTCCTTCTTCCCTCTTATCCTGAGTCACCTTTTGGAACTTAGGCATTGAGCACCATGGGGACCCCAAATGATCAGGCTGTGTTGCAGGCCATCTTCAACCCTGATACCCCATTTGGAGATGTTTTTGGGTTTGACTTGGGAGAGGAAGCAGAGAAGGAAGAAGCAGATGAAGGTGAGCATTTGACCTTGGTGTGCGACACTTCACATAAGCTGGCCCACTACCCCCACCCCCCTTCCCATGATGAGAGAGGGAAGTGATAATGCGGGGCTGCTTGTTCCACCCCTTGGATTATGGTTTGAGATTCAAATCAGAAGCTGACGGATTCCTTAGTGTCCCAAGAAGTGGGGTTGGCAACAGAAACTGTCAAAGAGAAGAAGGCCAAGGTTTCTCAAGTCCATTACCCCTCAAACCTCTGAACTTACCACTTACTTCTTTCCATATCCAGGCTTAATAGTCTTGAGTGATATTAAACTCTCAAATCTTTGCTATAACAATGTTATCCTCCATGAAATGGAGGGCAGAAGTAGGGCAATGGGTAGGGGTTGAGTTTCATGATTCCAAGAAGCACTTGTTAAATGTTCTTACTAGCTAACTCTTCTGCTGAGGGAGTGCATCCTCACTGGTCCCTAGTGGAGAACTGATCTTATTTCTAGAAAAAGAAGCCTAAGCCTTACTGAAACTTCATGGTAAAAATTAAGAGTATTTTCACCATCTGGTAATGTCCTGGCAGGCTTTGAGTAGGAGGCAGTAAAGCAGAGCTGAGGACAGACTGAAGAGCCAGAAGAATCAGGGTTCAAATTCAAGCTCTGCAACTCAGGGACTATGACTAGTTACTGACCTACAGGTAAAGGAGTTTGGTCTTCATTCTCTTGGCCATGGGTAGCCATCTGAGGTCCCTTTCCCAGGTCCCTTTGAAACTAAGTGCTTACTCTCAGACTTGGTGACCTCAGCTCCACTACCACAAACAATGAAATTACTCCTGCTGTGACACACCCAATCATTTCTGGCTCAGGTCTCCAGATTCCGAATTCTGAGAGGCTTTTTGTTGTTGTTCTCAACTGCACATCGATCCTGTATCCCCACCTGGCTTCTTCCCTGGCACAGATGGAGTTTTCCCTGGAGCACAGCTGGAGCAATCTAAGGCCCTAGAGCTTCAGGGAGTGATAGCAGCAGAGGCTGGCGACTTCAGCACAGCCCTGGAAAGGTTTGGCCAAGCCATCTGCCTGCTGCCTGAGAGAGCCTCAGCCTACAACAATCGTGCCCAGGCCCGGAGGCTCCAGGGAGATACGGCAGGTGAGGGGCAATGCCCAGGAGCCTCTGCAGAAGGGGACCCTGAAGAGCACAGACAAATGAATTGGTTGTTGATGGGGGAACAGGGACCAGGAGTCATCAAATCCCTCTGGAGCTGGTGTTCTTACCTAAAAAGCCTGAGATGTGGTATGGGCCCTGTAATCTCAAGGCCATTGTGAAAGAAGAGATTGCATTCCATTCATTAATTTAAGGAACATTTAATGAGAGCCTACTGTGTGACCCTAGGCTATGTTGAGAACATAAAGATGCATTATTTGGGTCTGTGCATCGCTGTATACCTGTAATCCCAGCTACTCAGTAGACAGAGGTAAGAGGATCACAAGTTTGAGGTCAGACTCTGCAATTTAGAGAGCCCCCGTGTCAAAATTAAAATTTAAAAGGTCTGAGGATATAATTCAGTGGTAGAGTACTTGCCTAGCATATGGAAGACCCTCAGTTCAATTTCCAGTACTCTAAAAAGAAGAAAAAGATGTGCTATTAAGAGCTAACATTTATATAGTAGTTACTACTGCTAGGCATTAAACACTTCACACATAGGTTATAATAAGATATGTACTATTGTTATCCCCATTTTCAAAATGAAACTAAAGCATGCAGAGATTAACTTGCCCAGTATCCCCTAGCCAGGAAGTGGCAGAGCTGGGACTTAAACCAGGTGGTAGGTACTTTTTTTTTTTTTTTTTTGTGGGTACCAGGGATTGAACTCAGGGGCACTCAACCACTGAGCCACATCCCCAGCCCTATTTTGTATTTTACTTAGAGACAGGGTCTCACTGAATTGCTTAGTGTCCAGCTTTTGCTGAGGCTGGCTTTGAACTCACGATTCTCCTGCCTCTGCCTCCCAAGACACTGGGATTACAGATGTGTACCACTGTGCCAATGGTTGGTTCTTAACCCTGCATGATACTGCTCCTCAGGAGCTCACTCCAGCAGGCACAGCAGATGTGTAATCAGGTTACTGGCACGGCAAATTCAAGAAGGGTCAGCATGGGACCTGTTCTCCAACCAAAGTTTTGAAGAATGAGTGGGAGTTGTGGGAGTTAGCTGGGCAAGTGGGAAGGCTTCAGAAAAGGTTACTGTCTGCAGGGACCCTGAAGGCATGCATAGGTTCCCTCTGGAGAATTTCAAATCTCCAGGCTGTCTGGAGCAGGAAGTGGGCTGGGAGTGTCTGACCAGCCCTCATAGGACTGAGTCTTGAAAACATGGGTTTCACTGTAGGAGGGTTGTTGGTGGCGACTAGATCAAATCAGCTGCTTTCAGTCACTCCAGCCAGAGTGGGAACAATGGGACAGAAGGGGTCATGTTAGGGACCAGAAGTCAGGCTGATGAAAAGGTGGAAACTACAGAAGCCTAGCAAGGAGCTTAGTGATTCTTAGGACTAGTGGTGGTGGAGGAGTTCCTGGGGTCAGGAATACCAGGTTTGAGAATTTGGACTACATTCTGGGAACAATGGAGAATTCCCCCACAGCCCCCTTTTAGTGTTCAATCCAAGTATTTTATGAGAATATTAACAAAAACACTGCAGGATAGCTCTGGCTCCATGACCTCCTTCCAAAGAAATTAAGTACAAAAATACAGATCATAGAGATAATCAAAACATGGAAATAAAGAAGCAAGAACCTGATTGTTTTGTTGTAATAGTTTTGTGGTACTGGGGCTAGAACCAACGCTTTGAACATGCTAGCAAAAGTACTCTACCACTGAGCTACATCCCCAACCCTGGGAGCAGCTGTTCTGAAGTGTGCAATGGAAAAGAGAAGGGAAAAAAAGCCAACAAAAGGAAAAGCCTAAGAAACAGTTGTGCAGCTAATGACGTTTTTAAACTCTGGGATTTAGAGTCAGTGACACACACAGTAAATGTTTTGTAACTTATATGTGAAATGAACAACCCACTATTTGGGGAGTCAATAGGACAGATTCACTAATAATGGTGAGCAAAGTCCTCCACTCATGTTTCGGTGTAACTATGGTGGAAAAATAATAAGAATAAGGCAAAACATGAACTTCGTACCAGCTCTGCCCCTAAGTGGTGGTGCAGTCCAGGACAAGTCTTCTCAGTCCTTCCAGGCTTCATCTGAGTAATAGGAACAACAATCCCCTCCAATCAGCTCAAACATTTGCCCAACCTCAGTGATGATCCCGGTTTTTTTTCTCCCAACCGCGCTGCAGCAGGTGGGCGGGGGCTCGCAAGCCAGGCTGCCAGGCCGCGCCAATAACCCCTGCTCACCCAACCACAGGTGCTCAGGCGGACCTGGACCGCGCCCTGGCGCTGAGTGGCGGCCGGGGTCGCGCCGCCCGCCAAGGCTTCGTGCAGCGAGGGCTCCTGGCGCGGCTGCAGGGCCGAGACGACGACGCCCGTAGGGACTTCGAGCAGGCGGCACGGCTGGGCAGTCCCTTCGCGAGGCGCCAGCTTGTGCTGCTCAACCCGTACGCCGCGCTGTGCAACCGCATGCTGGCAGACATGATGGGGCAGCTGCGCAGTCCCCGCAACGGGCGCTGAACTCGTCAGTCCGGGGACGGGAGGGGGCCTGAATCAATAAAGCTGCGGAGCCTCACCCATTGCACCTGCTTCTGCTTCTGCGTCCTACCCACGCGCCCACGTGAGGGGAGGCGGTACTGAGGTGGACCCCTCACGGGCCCTGAGCACGTGCCGAGCAGTGAAAGAACGGCCGCCCACCTGCCCGAGGTCGGGCATTGATTGGCTCTGCCTGGCGCAGGCCCCGCCCTCTCAGAGGACCGCGGTGCTCTGCAGACCTGAGCAGTTGCTCTGGCTGCACTCGGGAGGGAGCCAGGTGAGCTGCCTGAGAGGCGGGGGAAGGATGCTTCAGCGATCCCTGCCTCCGGCATCCGAGTCCACCTGAGCAATCAATCGGAATGGGGAAAGGGGTATAGGACGAGAGATGGGAGGAGGAACGCGGCAGGAGAGGACTGGGTCGGGAGAAGGGCGATCCCTTTGGGGGAGGGGCATATGTAGACGCTGTGTGTGTGTGTGTGTGTGTGTGTGTCTGTGTTGCGCTGTTGCGCGCGCATATACGTATGGTGCGGCTGCACGGTTGATTTTTGCTTCTGTGTATTTGCGGATGTATGCTGTTTGTCTCTGGCAGTTCAGTGCTGGATTCTGCGCTCGTAGGGTATCCAGGTATGTGCCTTTGGGCTTTGCTGAAGGTGCCGCGCCACCGAGAGCCAGTCTACATTCATGTTTGCGTGCATGGGCCTTTTTGGTTTGGGAGAGTAAATTCCTGAAAGAATTGCTAGGCCTGTCGGCTTTTATCTGGCTGACACCAGGCCTGCCCCCTTCTCTCAGCAGCCTGGGCCCAGGCCCGGCCACCATGGGGCTGCCTCAGGGCCCAGCTACCCTCCCGCACACACTGCTGCTCCTGCCAACCCTTCTGAGCTCAGGTACATCCCTGTATATTCCTTGGCCAAGCACTTCTGGAAATTAGAGACCCATCCCTCCCCTCCTTGCCTGCATCTAACATTTGGGTACCCACTCCAGAGCCAGGTGCCCCCCCTCCCACTGACCCACCCTAGGTCCAGCCAGTCCCTAATGAGAGAAACCAGGTGCCCTGTTTTTTTGGCCTGTTGCCCCTCAGCTAGGGAACCTTATCCTAGTCACAGCACAAAACCAGCCCTTCTCCCAGTTCCTTCCAGAGGCTGCCTGCTGTGTTCCAGGTTGGGGGGAGTTGGCGCCACAAATTGATGGTCAGACCTGGGCTGAACGGGCACTTCGGGAGAATGAACGCCATGCCTTCACCTGCCGGGTGTCAGGAGGACTTGGCACTCCCCAGTTGGCCTGGTACCTGGATGGACAGCTTCAGGAAGCCAGCACCTCAAGACTGCTGAGTGTGGGCGGGGAGGCCTTCTCTGGAGGCACTAGCACCTTTACTGTCACTGCTCAGCGGGCCCAGCATGAGCTGAATTGCTCCCTACAGGACCCAGGCAGTGGCCGGTCAGCCAACGCCTCTGTCATCCTCAATGTGCAATGTGAGTGTCCCTGGGGTGGGCAAGAAGAAAGGTTCCTGGTCCCCCAACAGCCATGGGGAAGCTGTTGCACAGAACTTTTAACAAACACTTGTCATTTTGCAAATATTAACTCACTTTATCCTCACAGCAATCCTATAGGGATTATTACTATTTGTATTACCATTTTACAAATGGGAAAACTGAAGCACAAAGTGGTTAAGCAGTTTGCCCACGGTTATAAAAGTTGTAAGAGACAGGGCCAGGATTCAAGCATAGGCCTGGCCATCCTGTTTCTCAGTGCCTTGGCTAAAGAGAGGTTCAGGCCTCTGGCTCCTATCTGGATTCGAGAACAAAGGGCCAGAATATGAAGGGCTGTGGTGAGAGCGTACTGTTCTCTGTTTTGCACTAGTTAAACCGGAGATTGCCCAGGTTGGAGCCAAGTACCAGGAAGCTCAAGGTCCAGGCCTCCTGGTTGTCCTCTTTGCCCTGGTACGTGCCAACCCACCAGCCAATGTCACCTGGATCGACCAGGATGGGCCAATAACTGTCAACACCTCTGACTTCCTGGTGCTGGATGCTCAGAACTATCCCTGGCTCACCAACCATACTGTTCAGCTGCAACTCCGCAGCCTGGCACATAACCTCTCAGTGGTGGCCACCAATGATGTGGGTGTCACCAGTGCCTCGCTTCCGGCCCCAGGTGAGCTTTGCTAACAACTGACCCAGCAAAGCTTCAGGTGGGCACAGGGATCATGGTTCAGAAATGGGAGGACTTGATGCCCTTTGGGTGGGTGCTATGAATGAATTGTCCCAGCCATCTTGGGTAAGGAAGACAGAGTAGTTCAGTTTATGGTGTCTCAAGGTTGGGGGTGCTACCCATTTGGAATCTAACCAATGGACAACCTGCAGGACTCCTGGCCACCCGGGTGGAAGTGCCACTGCTGGGCATCGTTGTGGCTGGAGGGCTTGCCCTGGGCACCCTAGTAGGATTTAGCACCTTGGTGGCCTGCCTGGTCTGCAGGAAAGAGAAGAAGACCAAAGGTAGGAGCAGTGGGGCAGAGGGTGGCTGGAGGAATGGCAGGAGGTTGGGGGGTGAGCACCAGGGACAGCCAGCAGGTGGAGCTGGGCAGAACAGGTCATCTCTGGCAAGTGGCAGAGCACTCTGGTCTTGGGGCCAAAATTAGGCATTGAAATCACTTTTCTGAGGATCAGAGGTGAAAGGGCAGGAGGGCAGAACCCAACAAGGGTGAGTACACTGAGAATCAGTGAAGTTTCTTTCTCCACAGGCCCCTCCCGGCGCCCATCTCTGATTTCTAGGTAACTCTTCATGGGACTGGATTGAATGGGCTGAACCTAAATACAGGCTGGGGACTGGTGGGGACCTGGAGTTCTTAGGAGGCCTGGAATGGGCCTCAAAGCAGGAGCCAGTGGCTGCTGACAACAGCACATGTCTCAGCCTTTGTACATCCTGTAGTGACTCCAACAACTTGAAACTCAACAATGTGCGCCTGCCACGGGAGAACATGTCCCTCCCATCCAACCTTCAGCTCAATGACCTCACTCCAGATTCCAGAGGTACATCCAGGAATGACCCTACTTTATCTTCAGAAGTGCTTTGAAAGAGGGGTTAGGTTCCATGAAGCACACCCCTCATCCTGGGCACGACCCCCTTTGTTTTTAAACAGGGAAACAAGCAGACCAGCCAATTGCTCGCAACAGCAGCCGGCCAGAGCTTCTGGACCCTGAGCCTGGTGGCCTCCTCACCAGCAGAGGTACTGGGGAAGGGCCTGCCATTTTCCTCTTCTTTAGTCAAGCCCTGTACTGTGCCAAGGACCAAAGAGTGCCAAGGGCCATCCAGAACTGAGTCCTCTGGGCATCTTTGACCCCACAGGCTTCATCCGCCTCCCAATGCTGAGCTACATCTATCGAGTGTCCAGCGTGAGCAGTGATGAGATCTGGCTCTGAGCTAAGGGTGAGATGGGAGTTCCCCACCCCACCCCAGCCTCTGGACACCCTGAGCACCCTAACCCCCTGCTCCTCTTCCAGGTCATCCTCTGCCTGGCTATACTGCTAGCATGAAGAGGCCATGCAGCTGCCACTTGCTGGGTCTCCTCTCTGGGGTCCCCTGTTGTTCATGCACAAGATATGCTTCACTGGGATATGACCCATGGAGCACAGGTATCATTGGCAAGACTGCCAGCCAGAACTAAGCCCCTGTGCCAACTCAGGTTGGGTGCCTACACGTGATGACTGGGCCTTAGCAAGTGGCGCTCTGGCCATGTGTGTTCAGGTATCACCCAGCATCCAAGCGTGGCTACATGCCCCGTATCAGTACCCCTTAGCACCTTGTACAGTAGGCATGGGGGAGGCCCTGCATGTCCTGGATGTCCTTTCTGTGCTATGCAGCTCTGTTCCCTCAGGAACATCTCGTACCCTGCCTGCTGCATAGAACCAAACTGCCCTTTGCACAGGAGCCAACCCCTGGCCCAGGGGCCCTGGCCAAGGACAAATTAGTCCCTTTTGCTGCATACATCTCTGCCCTTCTCTGTTCCTTTGCCCCACCTCCTCTTGGGCATCACAGGTTATACACTGGACCCTCTTCAACGGGCATTAGACTTCCCCATTGGCCTGGCTTCCAGTGATGTAGTGCCAGGTGTTAGCACAAGTCGGGAAGGAAGAGTGGTCCCCAGGATAGCAAGTATGGTGGTGCCCAGAATAACAAGAAGCTATGCATCATTTTTTACAGTGTTAGCACTTTAAGCACATCCCCTCGGGGAGGGGGCAAGAGAGGGCCCCAAGGCCCTCTTGGCTTCCCAAAATTTGGCCTTCCTGTTATTCACTGTGAGTGTCCTGAGCCCTCAGGATTGACAGTTTTCTCTCAGCGTAAACCTCCCCCACCCGTGGGATCCCAGCTGTGACCAACCCCTGGCTGCTCCACCAGAAGGAATTCACTGATCCCGCCCAACCTCTGTTGTTTAGTAGATGGTCACAGTGGGCACAGAAGATTTAGGGGTAGACCACATATCCCCAAATGTTCCAAGAATGCTTTGAAAAGCAACATGGAAATAACCAGAAATTACCAAGATGCAGAATATATTTTTCCCTTGTTACTATCTTGTTTTGTGATTTTTCTCATGTTACTGCCTAGGACTGTGCTTGGCACACAGTAAAATTCAATAAACTTGACTGAATGAATGTCTCTATTTATTTCATTTGACTTTTTTTTTTTTTCTACTTTGGTGGCATTGGGGATGGAACCCAGAACTTTTGCAAATGTTAGGAAAGTACTCCACTCCTCAGCTACATTTCCAGCTCGTCAAACATGTTTTTAAATGAAAAGAAAAAGAAAAACAACTTTTTTTGTAGTGCTGGGGATGGAACCCAGGGCTTTGTGCATGCCAAGCAAGTGCTCTACCACCTAGCCTTTCCCCTAGCCCTTACATGAAGTCTTTAAGTCACAAAGTAGAGAAAATACAGCATGCACCTTTGTATGTATCAGGAACAATGGATCGGAATCTGCTAATTCAGTGTTTGCAGTGACATTATAGAACATAAAAATCATGAGTAAGAGAAATGACTGAATTTATGAGTGCTGAGTCTCAGCTCTAACAGGGACATCTGGTTATTCCTTAAAAACATAATGGAGGGGCTAGGGATGTAGCTCAAGTGGTAGCGTGCTCGCCTGGCATGCGTGAGGCACTGGGTTCGATTCTCAGCACCACATAAAAATAAATAAATATATATTTAAAAAAAAAAACAAAACACCCTAATGGAGCATTTGAGTTCCTATCAAAGGATATAGACAAGAGAGGTGTAGGGTGAAGGGTGAGGGAAGGGATGCAGAGCTTCCATGCCCTCTCCAGGCATGCTACCTTCCAGGAATTTCCATTTGTTCCAATATTTGGAAGCTTTCTCAACCCTGTCCTTTGGGTTTTTATGGAGACTTCATTGCATTGGCATGCGTGAAATATAGACAATTGTGCTGGAAGTGATTTAGACAAAAAGGGTAGGATCATGCAGGTGCTGTGGTACACACCTATAATCCCAATGACTCCAGAGGCTGAAGCAGGAGGATCACAGATTTGAGACCAGCCTCAACAATTAAGTGAGGCCCTAAGCAACTTAGCGAGACCCTGTCTCAAAACAGAAAATAAAGGGGATGGGGATGGGGATGTGGCTGAGTGATTGAGTGCCCCTGGATTCAATTCCTGTTTCATTAAAAAAAAAAAAGGGGTGGCTATGACCCAGTGCAAACAAACTGGGTGGGAAAACCTAGCAAGGCTTGTCTTCAGATTCTTTAGTATTCCTTCCTTGTGAGTAACTGGCAGAATCTTCGGAAATGGATGTTTTAACATCTACCATCAGCCAAGTTAGGTCAAAGCATTTAAGACTACATTTCCATAATCTGCCTTAGGTAAGACAAATTCAGTTTCTGTGGCCTGCCTTGGGAAGAAAAAGGAACAGGTGAAAGGAGGACAGGCGATCAGAGAGGAGAGACTTGAGGGCTAAAGCCCTCAACATTATTCTAGTCACTTAGGAAATAATAAGGGCAATAGAAGAAATGAAACAGGAACCATGGCTAAAAAACAAAAAATATGAATTATATCAAAACTGACAGAGCATTTTATTTGTAAAATCATTGCCAACTACCTTTAAGAATAAAAGAAAGAATTTCATCCCTAGCCCCAAAAGAACACCTTTTAATCTTTCTTCCCAGCTTTTACTTTGGGGAAATCTCAGAAATTCAATTTTTTAACTCAAATCCCCACAGTGGTAACTCTCTTGGGAAGGCAATTTGAGACAGGAAGAGCAAATGTGTGAAGTGCTCTCTGGCAGACAGGTAGCAGCACATGCCTGGTCCTGAGCCCAGCGGCAGAGCAGGTGGCCGACAGGCCTCTCTCCTTAGTTGAAGGTTAGTGTCTCTGCTACATCTCCAGCTTGGGAGATGCAGTTGGACGGAGGAGTAAATGCTTTCTTGCCTTCAGCAAGAGCTTTAAAATGCTATGAAGAAAGGGGAGAGAGAATGTTAAGTATTTGGAATATGCTAATTGCTACATTTTCTCACAAGAACTAACCTCTTTTAAAACCCTTTAAGCTTCTAATCTTCTTCCAGTTCTGCTTACAAACAGATACCTTGTGCTATCTTTGAAAAATAGCTAGAAATTTGCCCACCTCCTTCAAAAGTGACCCCCCACCCTTTTTAAACTTCTTTCCTGCTTCTATTCATTGGGCCACTTGGTTCTCCTGAAGCACGGGTATAATCCACAGATCCACACCAAGTTCCATGGAGACTCCCATCTCTGATACTTCCCCATCCTCTGCCTTCTCTGCAGCTCTTACTCATGAAGATAATAACTCCCCCACTGCCACAGGAAACAACTGCAGCAGGCCCAGGCTGGCAGAGACCCCACACTACAGCTTGAGTCCAGTCCCCGATCCTCATCTCACCTGTGAGTTCTTGAATTCCGAGTAGAGAGAGAAGAGTAGGTGGAGGGACTGAATCCGACTCTTATAGACAGGGATGTCTAGGATGGCTGAAACAAAGAAGAACTCTCAGGAACAGAACCAAACAAACTCTGGGACTTAGGGGGCATTTCTGTTTAGGATAGCCAACCCCTTCCCACATGGGATATATTACTATGATTGTGGATTAAATACCCAACAAGTAGTCACATAGGCCTGAACACCCCTAGAAGCTGCCACTCTGCACAAGTGAAGGCTGTTAGTCAAGATGCCATCTTCCCAGAGTCAGCAAGCCCTTCTGAAGGCCTAGGATGTAGCTACCCAGAGGAGGGGCTGGGAAAGGAGAGAGAACCTTACCGCAGATCATGTCAATGTACTCAGCCAGGCTACAGTCGATCTCTGCCGTGGGCAAGCTCACCTGGAAGAGGTGTGGGACAGACCACAATAAAAAAGCTAAAGTGTAAGTGAGCCCAAAAGAGCCACTCTCTGAAGGAAAAGAGCTCCTAGCATAAAACATGAATTATAGTTCAATTTGGGTTCCCCCAAATTCCTATGTTGAGGTCCTAACCCTTAGAATGTAACAAACCCTCATTCTGCACCTCAGAATGTAACTGTTTGGAGATGCAATCTTTACTGAGTAAAAATGAGGTCTAATGCAGTAAGACTAGTGTCCTTACAAGAAGAGATCAGGACACTGACACTGACACTGGCAGAGGGAAGACTATGTGAAGCCACAAATAGTAGATGATCCAGGAGAGAGGCTCTAGAAGAAATCAGTGCTGCTGATTTGGCCTTGGACATCCAGCCTCCAGAACTGAGAGAAAATAAATTTCTGTTGTTTAAGCCACCCACTCTATGGTGCTTTGTTCAGTAGCCCTAGCAAACTAAAACAACATCTCCCCCACTCCCACCCCCAATCAGCGGGATGGAATTTACTACCAAAGAAGGGCCTGGGGGCTTCACCTCGCACATTCGAGACCCTGGGTTCGATCCTCAGCACTACATAAAAATAAGTAAGTAAAATAAAGGTATTGTGTCCAACTGCAACTAAAAAATAAATATTAAAAAAACAAGAAGGGGGCTGGGGTTGTGGCTCAGCAGAGAGTGCTGGCCTAGCACATGCGAGGCCCTGGGTTCAATCCTCAGTACCACATAAAACGAAATAAATAAAATAAAGGTATTGTGTCCAGCTAAAAAAATATTAAAAAAAAAAAAAAAGAAAACAAGAAGGGCCGAAAGATTTTGTGGGCAACATATACTGCCCACAAAAATATATTTTGGATTCAAGAAGAAACTGGTCCCAGGTTTATGACTCAAGTATTTAGTGACTTGGTATTGTAATGCTTAAAGGTCCTGGGACACCATGGGAACAGAGAAAATGGAAATATCATTTTACTCAGGCTTTGAGTTAAATAAGTTGTAAGTTTACTTAAAAAAAAAAAAAAAAAAATATATATATATATATATATATATATATATATATATATATATATATTGGGGATTGAATCCAGGGAGGCTCTACCAGCTGCACTACATCCTGAGCCCTATTTTTTTTTTTAAGATGTAGTTGGACACAATACCTGATTTTATTTATTTTTATGTGGTGCTGAGGATTGAACCCAGGGCCTCACATGTGCAAGGCAAGTGCTCTACCGCTGAGCCATAACCCCAGCCCCTGAGCCCTCTTTTTAATATTTTAGTTTGAGATAGAGTCTTGCTAAATTGCTTAGACCTCACTAAATTGCTGAAGCTGACCTCAGATTTTTGATTTTCCCACCTTAGCCTCCCAAGTCTCTGGGATTATAGGCATAAGCCTCAGTACCAAGCTTATCAATTTAAAAACCATTAGCTTCTTAAAACTTTTTTATAAAATAATTAAGAGTGTACACAGTTCTGTAATTTGCTTTTTTGATGGAGAGGGTATAGGGGATTGAACTCAGGGGCACTCCTTGACCACTGAGCCACATCCCCAGCCCTATTTTGTATTTTATTTAGAGACAGGGTCTCACTGAGTTGCTTAACACCTCGCTTTTGCTGAGGCTGGCTCTGAACTCGTGATCCTCCTGCCTCAGCCTCCTGAGCTGCTGGGATTACAGCATATGCCACCACGCTCAACTGCAATTGCTTTTTTCATTTAACAATATATCATTGCTGCCAGGCCTGGTAGTGCTTGCCTGTAAACCCAGCAATTTGGGAGACAGGACCACAAATTCAAAGGCTGCCTCAGCAATTTCAGTGAGACCCTGTTTCAAAATAAAATAAAAAGGATTAGGTGAATGGCTAAATGGTAGAAGGCTTCTGGGTTTAATCCCCACTACCACACACACACAGACACACACATACACACACACACTTATACATACATTGCTATTTATTCATATCAGAGCAAAAAACACCAAATAATATTCCATTGCATAGTATTTCGCTGAATGGAGGTACTACAATCTAGCTATTTAATTCCCTGATCAAGGGCTGGGGGTGTGGCTCAGTATAAGAACACCTGCCTAGCATGTGTGAGGTCATAAGTTCAAAATCCCCTGAGCTACAAAATATAAAACAAACAAAAACTTCTATATGAAACTCCCATATATACATGGGTTTGTTTCTGGATTAATAGGTGCCACTGACCTGTCTATTCCTATTCCAGTAACTTTCTATTTGATTTACTATAATTTTTTTATATTCATTTATTTTCATTAGTACATTATAGTTATACATAGTAGTGGGATACA